ATTCGGTACAGATGTAGACAATAGTCTGGAAGAACATATAGGCTACTCACTTTTGTTTTTTTTTTTTGTATTTAACGCGGACGGAGTCGCGGGCGAAAGCTAGTACTATTATAATGTGTAAACACACACTTCTTCGTTGCCTAAGATGTCAGCAATTACAGCATATTTTTGAATAATTCTCTTACGTCACGCTTTAGGCTATATATTTTCACGCCATTAAACTTAGGGGGTAAATATTTTGTATTAAAACTATAATGTGGGAAAGAGACCATAAGTTGCTGCCAACATCAAGGAAGCAATTTTGCCAAGGTTTGTAATGTCACGTCATTTTGACATTTGCTATTGATAATTTGACAAATGTAAACAATAATATAAAATTTTCATAATTTCATGCGGATGAAGCCGTACGGGAACAGCTAGTTTTTTATAAAACTCTAAGCTCGCGACTTCGTCTTGATGAAATTAGAAAAAATAACAAAAAATATAGCCTATGTTACTCACAGATAAATTACCTTTTTAACGGTGAAAGAATTTTTAAAATTAGCCCAGTAGTTTTTGAGTTATTTCAATACATACAAAAATACAAATCATACTAATATAAATGGGAAAGATGGATGTTTGTTAGCTTGTAGCCTAAACCGCTGAACAGATTTAAATAAAATTTTATATTTAGAGTATAGTCTGGAAGAACACATAGGGTACTTTTGTTTTAATTATTTCCACGGACAGAGTTGTGTGTGGAAGCTAGTGAGACATAATTTAAAAGTATTTACCTCGATAACCTGTTTGGTGTCAGTCATCTTTGTAATAACTTGCTCGGACTGTGTGATGGACGCTTCAGTTTTGTCAGAATCCACTTTTACAACCCATAATTGTTTCCTTTGAAGATTCTTTAAGGACCTGGAAATAAATTATATATATAAATATTATAAATTCGAAAGTTACGATGGATAGATGTTTGTTAGCTTGTAGCCTAAACTGCTGAACGGATCTCTATGAAATTCGGCACAGGTTTAGAGCATAGTCTGGAAGAACACATAGGCTACTTTTTATCCCGGGAATAGTTACGGTTCCCGTGGGATTCATTAATTTAGTTTTTTAATGTTTACTCGATCATTCTGCAACGGTTCAACATATCTTATTGAAATTTGTCACAGATATAAAACAAAGTCTGGAGTACACATGGGAGGTTCATCCCGAGAAATGTCCGGTTCCCGAGATACGTAGCTTTTTCTTTTATATATAGTTCGTATATTCAACTTTTCAGTAACTCATGGCCTCTTTCCCACGTTAAAAGTTTTTATCCAAAATATTTACCCTTAAGTTTAATGGCGTAAAAATATATATCCTAAACATGACGTAAGTGTAGGGTTTTTTTTATTAAAAAAGGAATTATTCAAAAATATGGTGTAATTGCTGACATCTTAGGCAACAAAGAAGTGTGTTTACGCTTTATTATAATAGTATAGATAAGTAAGTAAGTAAGTACTTACAGATATCCAAGTGTGTCAACAAGCTGTCTTACGTTTAGTCTTGTTATACTTTCTTGTGGTTCCTTTTTAGGGGGGTCTACGCTGTAGTTATGTTCCATACGAATTATATCAGCAGCTAAAAGAAAACAAACAAAAATACAAACTAATTACAATGACAAATTATTATAATTTATTAAGGTAAATAAATATTCTTAAACCACATAAATACAGTAGAACTTCGATAACTCAAACCTCGGTAACTTAAAAACCCAAAGCCTCTATAACATAGACCCTTGATAACTTAAAACCTTTATAACTTAAAGTATTTTGTGTTTCCCTTGGACATTAACTTACGAGGTTCTACTGTACAAACCAATTACAATGAATACTGAAATAGAATTAAACATTTAAATACAGTGGTAGAGGCCGCTCTAACATGTCGGCAGTGCAGGCTCTCAGCAATACCACGACCACAGACAGCCGGCAAGTGGAATCTATTCCAGGTACTGATGAGTGTGGTGCCAGAGGCCTCATTTTACTTCCTTTCCCTTTCCACCCTTTTAAGAGGAATGAATGGGAAGGAAAAGTTATTTTGACTGGGAAGGAGACGCATAGGAAGGGGAAATGTCCTCTTTATGTGCGTCTCCTCCGTCAATGAAGGGTAGGCAGCGCTGCAATTGCGGATGTCTACGTGCAGCGGTCGCTTTACATTTCAGTGGATACAGGCCACTTGCACGTTTGTGACATTATATTATTAAAAAAAATGACGTATATGAAGTATTGAATTAAATTTTTAATGTTTTCATCTATGTGTGGACCCCACGTTTCGAAAATGTAAATTTTTATATAAGACTAGGTGTCGTGACTTCGACTGCGTGGAATTTTTAAAAAATAACAAAAACCAGCTAAATAGCCTAGTTTTTTTATAATATAAAGTGTTAAACGAGCAAGCGGCCTGAATGCACCGAAATGGAAAGCAACAGCTGCCCATAAATATCCGCAATTGCAGCGCTGCCTACCCTTCATTGACGGAGGCGACGCACATAAAGAGGTCATTTCCCCTTCCTATGCGTCTCCTCCCCAGTCAAAATAACTTTTCCTTCCCATTCTTTCCCTTTAAAAGGGTGGAAAGGGAAAGGGACTGAAATGAGTCCTCCGACAGAACACTGATCAGTAGGCGGAATATCTTCCACTTGACGCTGTCTGTGGTCGTGGTATTGCTGAGAGCCTGCACTGCCGACATGTTAAAGCGGGCTCTACCACTACGTTACGCAGCCATAACGTAGCTTTTAAACATTGAAATAATATTTAAAATTGACCCAATAGTGAATTATTTCAATACAAACAAAAATACAAATCTATTCTCTTTATAATATTAGTATGAGTTCATTATTTTCACGTCATATAACGTTTTAGTCGAATTCCGTTACTATATCCGATATCACAACAAACTCTCGTTGTACAAAGTACATTGTACATATTACATTAAATTCATTTTTTTCTCAACAACCCTAATAAATTTTTATCCTAATTATATTTTTAAAACTCTTTACCTACTAAAAAAATACTATTATATCACATCCTGTATACTTAAGATTTATAAAATTATCATTAAACATCCTGTAGTATACTAGCTTTCGTCCGCGACTACTTTCGCGTGGAATTGAAAAAGAAAACAAAAGTGAATAGCCCATGTGTTCCAGACTATCCTCTACATCTATTCCAAATTTCATCGAGATCCGTTCAGCAGTTTAGGCTACAAACTAACAAACATCCAACTAAACTTTCACAGTAAGAAGTAAGATTAGTACATCCTTAGTACAACGTAAGGATAGTGAAAAACTCTAAGGGCTTCCACTGGCTGATAGAGGCTTAGATAGCAGAATGACGTCACTGTCAGATAACGGAAGAAAATCCGATATTTCCACATATTTTACACGTAAGATTATCAAACAATTTAATAGGCCCTAAATATTGTATTCGTTAACACCTTAAGCGCCATGTGTATCTTGTCACGCAGTGTCTAGAAGACTGTGTATGTGGCCTGGGAGGTATGAATTCTATCATCACCAGCTCACTCTACGTTCCCACCGAGGGGCTCGGAACCTACCCTAAAGTTAGGGTGACTAGGCCATGGTCAAACCACGCTGGCCAAGTGCGGGTTAGTTGACTTCACACATATCTTTGAATTTCTTCTCCGATATGTTGTGCAGGTTGCATCACGATGTTTTCCTTCACCGTAAGAACGTCGGGTAAATTATGTACATATAAAAATTCGAAAAATCGAAAATAGAAGTACATGGCGGCGGGATTCGAACCCAAGACCTGTAGATTACAAATCAAGTGTTTAAACCACTGAGCCACCGACGCTCTGATGAATCTTATGAATTCTATGCTGTATCTAAATGTCACACGAATAAAAATTTAAAGGCATTCAAAGATGGTGTTAAAATCGCACGCTATCTCATAAGAGGAGAATATCTAATGCCTCTACCCATCTACTGTAAGGAACAAAATTAGTACCGTACTGTAGAATTGGCACAACTCTAGATTATCGTCATAAACGTCACATCCCTAGCTGACAGCTGTCAATGTCACTAGAAGTGGATATTGGCGCATCCTGAGTCCTGACGAGAAGTGTTGCTGAGTTTAAAAGCGACAGTATCAATTAAATAAGTTGCCTAAAAGTACTATTATCATTTTTTTTCTTACTCCCGTTGGCGCAACAGGTTTTTGTCCTCCATAATACGTCATGTCAGTCATCACTCCCTTCATCATGTCACCTTTCACACAATCCATCTCTTTCTACGTCTACCTCTACCGGTGTACACTCATAACTTTTTTGATAACGGGGGGAAATCTTCGAAAGATACCGTTTTTTTCTGCTGGAAAAATGGATTTACGCATCCCCCCCGTTACCAAGGAATGTGGACAGTATGTGGGACTCGCCGGCCAAGATGTATAATGGCCGAAATACCCACTAAAAACCCAGTGTTCCTTCTTTCCGCCAGTAGCTGGGTCACAGGAACGCTAGAGCAATCTTCCGCGACTTCATAACCCTGTCTTTTATAAAAAGATAGGGTTATGTGAGATTTCTCACTAAAACGCCTCGGTGGTAGCCCTTAGGGTGCGATTTGAGGGTCGAGGGATCTCCAGTGGAACGCACTTCTACCCTCTGCACCGTGTTGCTTTCGACGCTGCTTTTTGGTAAGCAGGACCCACACTAGTACTCATAACTAACGTTCTTGTAACATGCGATTCATCCCTCATAAGATGCCATGCTAACCTTTTACTCCTTACCTTCTACTAATGGGGCTACTCTCAAACTTCCTCTAATATACTCATTTCGTATCTTATCCATTCATGTTACATCCATTTTTACATTCTCATTTCTGCCAGTCTCCTTTCATCCGTGCCTTTTACTACCCAACATTCAAATCCATCAGGTGTTACGACTTTTTGTAAAATTTCCATTTATTTTAATATGCCTGAAATATTTTTAAACAACACCCTGTATAAGATAGCTACCTTTGAGCGGGCCGCGTATAAACTGTTCATATATAGCGTGGAAGCCTCCCGCCGCCGCCGCCCCTGCAACAAGCGCCATCACTCGCCACTGCCTTATACAGGGTGTTCCTAACACAACCGGTTATAACATCCAAGTGAACGCATTAACTTGCACCAAAGTATGGGAAAGCGCCCGGCACTCGCTATCTACAGGGTGTTCCCAATAGTTACAACCGGTTATATTAACCAAGAGGTTTGTCTACAGGATGTTGCATACGAAAACCGGTTATAACGACAAGGGAAAAATTCAAATCGTAATTTAGTCAAATCGACGTTATTTTCATTTTTGTCAACATATGTCGTTGTAACCGATATATTAAGCTGTTTCTTTATAAAAACGTATACGAACATAAAACAATAAAAACAGTATTTAAAATAATTTTCTACATAACTGAGAAAAAAAGACTAAATTTTAATAACAGCGCCATCTACCAGCCTACATAGCAAAACAAATCTTCTTAAATTAATAAAATCATACTAATATTATAAATTATAAATGCGAAAGTTTAGATGGATGGATGGATGGATGTTTGTTACAGTTTGTAGCCTAAACAGCTGAACAACTTTCGTTGAAATTTGGTATAGATGTAGAGGATAGTCTGGAAGAACGCAAAGGCTACTCACTTTTGTTTTTTTTAATTCCACGCGGACGGAGTCGCGGGCGAAAGCTAGTCTTTAATAAACACATAAACTTAAAGGATAAGCATAAAATACCGTTAACTCCGTAGGCCCCTAAGGAGCCCCCTTCATTTAAATTTATTATTAAACAAAAGATAAGTATACAATATTTTCTACTAAGAAATTTCAAAGTACATCTAACAGTGGAAATAACATCTAAAGATGCCATAAATAAATAAAAAGTACAGGGTAGGAGACATACCTTTCTTATCACTTGCGGATTGTACTAATGGTGCCACTTGCTCTTGAGGTGTTAATAATTCTGGTAACATCGGTGAGTCAATCCATAAACCTTGGGCGTCCATCTCGAAATGATATCTATAGAAAATAGAACTAACTTCACTATAGGTTCGAGATTTAGCCTGTCCCACCACTGGCTGATAGAGGTTAAGATAGCTTTAAAATCACTATTAAATAAGGGTACAAAATCAGATATTTCAATTACATATTTTAACATGTTGGAGTATTAAATCTATCAGCTGAATATCTGAGTTCACTGTCTTCTAGCTTATCTGCAACACAATACATACTTTCCCATACGTAGTGTACAGTATGTACTCTTACATACATCTCTATCTGAATATCTGAATTCACTTCCTTCTAGCATATCTGCAACACAATACATACTTTCCCCTACGTAGTGCACAGTATGTACTCTTACATACATCTCTACCTGAATATCTGAATTCACTGCCTTCTAGCATATCTGCAACACAATACATACTTTTCCCTACGTAGTGTACAGTCTGTATTCTTACATACATCTCTATCTGAATATCTGAATTCACTGCCTTCTCTAGCATATCTGCAACACAATACATACTTTTCCCTACATAGTGTACAGTCTGTATTCTTACATACATCTCTATCTGAATATCTGAATTCACTGTCTTCTCTAGCATATCTGCAACACAATATTACTTTCCCTTACGTAGTGTACAGTCTGTATTCTTACACACATTATCTGAATCTCTATCTGAATATCTGAATTCATCGTATTCAACACTGACCAATCTTTACATAAAGGCACATTTAAAGCTACTTTTGGGTCACATCTCAAAACAAAACTAACACCAACAAATTCCCTGATAGTACATAGATAAGATCGAACCACAACAAATCTGGTAATTATAATTTTTCTGGTAACAATTATATTTACCCGCATAGTTGCAAGCTGACATGTCTCCAGAGACACTCGCTCTCCTCCTGCATTGCCCCTTCGATCCATTCTTGCCTTGGACCTTCTCCCTCCGATGATGTGTTTACACTAACAAACAAAACATATGTATGAGTATGTATACAATTTCTTAAAGAACTTACAACTATATAAATAACAAAACGCTACGACTCGGGAACCACACATTTCTCGGAGGTGAACCTTATCCCATGTGTACTCCAAATTTCAATAAGATATGTTGTACCGTTACAGAATGATCGAGTAAACATTAAAAAACTAAATTAAAGAGTCCCACGGGAACCGTAACTACTCCCGGGATAAAAAGTAGCCTATGTGTTCTTCCAGATTATGCTCTAAACCTGTTCCAAATTTCAGGGGGATCTGTTCAGCTGTTTAGGCTACAAACACTAACAAACATCCATCCATTGTAACTTTCGCATTTATAATATTTATATGATTATATGATTGGCTTACACATGACCAGCATCAGGGCTCCTAGATGTAGTAATTAGATCTAGTGTTTTAGAACTTTAATATCTGTCAATGTAAAAATCAATTATGTGTTATATCTTATATGATTAATTAAAAAAAAAGACCAAAAACTCCCTTCTTTACACATTTCACTGTACTTTCACACAACTGTTTAGTCTTGTTTTGAATATTATGAGCTTATATGGAGGTCCACTACTCGACGTTTAGTTGCAACTAAACAGTGGAATTGGCTGCGAAACAATCGACGATCGCTAACAGTTCTGTGTTTGTGTTACTTTTAAGTTGGTGTCAGTGTAGGTAGACAGTGATATTTACATGTGAAAATTACTATGTCTTTAAGATAATAATTGGCATATGCAATAAAACCTATAGTATTATGTACAAGTACTAAGTCTACTTGTCTAATACATTATCATCATCATCATCATCTCCTTACCCTACTCCCTTTAGTGTCGGCGCAACAGGTTTTTGTCCTCCACATAACTCTATCATACGTCTTCTCAGTCATCACTCCCTTTTTGATCTTGTCACCTTTTACACAATCCATCCATCTCTTTCTAGGTCTACCTCTACCGATGTACCCTTCCACACTCATAACTAACGTTCTCCTTGTAACATGCGATTCATCCCTCCTCATAACATGCCCATACCATGCTAACCTTTTACTCCTAACCTTCTCTACTATGGGGGCTACTCTCAAACTTCCTCTAATATACTCATTTCGTATCTTATCCATTCGTGTTACCCCACACATCCATCTTAACATTATGTTGGAGTTTTTATATGTTTGTATACTGGCAGGCAACACTGTACACACAGAGGACGGTTTTTAATATTAGAATAATATAATTTAAATTATAAAGAATTGTATATTTGATGTTTTTATATATGGACTTCACATCTCAACACGTACCAAACTTAGTTAAAAAATATATATTGAAAGTTATGATATTTTTGATTGATGCTTATTATTGTGTATTTGTATATATTTTGTTGTTGTTTGTAAAACTTTCGTTTCCTCCGTCATTATTTTTGTCAACTGTGTAATTAAGTGTATGATGTTTGCCTTCTGAATGGATTAAATGACTTTATTATTATTATTATTACCAAGAAACATTGTAGGACTTATAGACTTTGTATAAAATATGGTTCAGATATTTTAAATATAAAAATGATTAACTAGAAGAAAGTGTTTCAATAGCCCCACACCTCCAGAGCCCCGGACGGAGAAGAGTAACCGTCCAACAGGTTATGGGCCCAGGATATTTGAAGATATAATTTATTAATTTTTACGAAGAATTTGAAACAAAAACCTCTATAACTTCAAAAAATAATATGTTCCCTTCTCAACAGAGCTCAAAACCTCTACAACATAGACCCTTGATAACTTAAAACCTCTATAACTTAAAATATTTCATGTTTCCCTTGGACTTTAACTTATCGAGGTTCTACTATATTATAAATAACTTTAGATGGATGGATGTTTGAAGTTATCACTGGAACAACTTAATAGATGTCAACGGAATTTGACAGAGATGTAAAACTTAATCTGAAGGAACACATAGGGTACTTAAACTAAGCAAAATCTGTGCTAATATTTGGTTATACTCAGTTTATTCCTAAGTTTAACTTTATACCACATTTATTTGTAAGGCTGTCGGTGTTTCTTCCTCACAAATAGTGGGAGAAAAAGCTAGTTACTGTAAAAATCTTACTATCTCACTGATTACATATAGAAAAGTTTGTATGGATGAATTGTTACAGTTTGTAGCCTAATCTGCTGATATCCTCAATGAAATTTGTTATAGGTGTAGAATTGTCTGGAAGAACATATTGTCTACTTAGTGTTTTTTTTTATTTCCACTCGAGTGTGGGAACAAGTGTTTTAAACAAATTAATAATTTGTTTAACATATCTAATAAGATTGGAGCCGGTGGCTCAGTGGTTTAAGCATTCAACTTGTAATCTACAGGTCTTGGGTTCAAATCCTTTTGTGTACCAATAGGATTCTCGATTTTTGAATGTTTATATGTATATAATTTACTCCACACTCTTACGGTGAAGGAAAACATTGTGAGCCTGCCCATATTGGCAAAGAAATTCAAAGATATGTGTGAAGTCAATCAACCGGAAGTAGGCCAGCGTGGTGGACTATGGCCTAGTCACCCTTACTTAGGGTAGGCTTCAAGCATCTCCGTGAGGATGTATAGTGAGGTGGTGATGTAGATCATCACCAGCTCACTATACATTTGTTACAACAATAAATAAATTTTCACTAACTCTTATTGTAATTGAAATCAACATTAGCTCTACAAAATGCATTTTTGACTGTTTGCCAAGTTTAATAATGCAATAGTATTATACACGTAAATGAAATGGATGTAACAATTAAAATGTAAATATTTCTTCTACTTTCTTTATACCAATACTAGTTTTTTCACACAACTTTGCATGGATCAAAAAAGTAAGTAGCCTATATAATTTAACCTATGTCTGCGTTAAAATTTACTAGGCCATTTTGGAGATAGAAAACATATATTATATTGATTTAAGCTTTTGAATTTATTTTGTTATTGTTTTAGCATAGTTTTAGATTAGTTAATCCTTTTCCTTATGTATATGCTTAGTATGTATTCTTACATCATCCATACAGTTACATGTTTGAACAAATAAATTCAGTATTAGTTGATTTTTAGTATTGTTGTCAACATTTGATAATAGTTTAAATTAAAGGTTTTTAAAGACTTTATAAGTATAATTTCTTATTGTAATGCTACTAAAATTAATAAAACTATGAATTTTAACGGTAAAATGAAATGTAAACATACAGCAAGAACTAAATTCGAGATACCATAAACATCGCTGATTTGGCGCTCACTTTACCCGTGGAGGTCAGGGGATGGACGCAATGGAGGCGTCGGTTTTAACCTAGTTACGAAATACATAGATTAAAGTGATTAGATTGAAATAAAACACTTACTTGTAGAATGAAAAGCTGCAAACCACATCATATTCTAAATTACAGCCTTCAACCACACACTTTTGTGCGGTCATTATGGTGCCTAGAAGCGCGACCTCTAAATATGGAGTCCAATATATCACATCCTTGTTTATACTATGAAATATTAAAATACTGTAGTTTAGCGCCTAAACTAACTTTCAAACAAACTAATTTGATGGATCTTTGGAAAATTATCAATCAAATGTCGAAAATGACATGCTGTCACGAAAAGTCGAAGTCTTAAATGCGTGCCACTGCCATTTAATGGTGATGTAATTGTGTATTGAAAAAAGAAATGGCAACACTGGACTGCTTCATCGATTCAGAATTTAACTGAGTCCATTCGATTGACCTAATTGCTTTCTCGCTAAAAACAAAACTTGTATAAAGTATTTCGAATAAAATGTAATTGCATTGTTATTTAATGGCCAATTCGAAAGATATCAAACGCACAATGTGTAAGAAATGTCACACAGTCACACAGTGGTGATTTAACTGTAATTAATACTTTATCGACACATTTTAGACTTTCTTAGAAAAAACATAACTCAATTTGGAAATATTTTTAAATAACCCGAAATTATTTTCCATGTATTTGAGGCCATTAAATATGTATGTCCGAAAATCTATCTTCCATTGAAAGTCAAACTCGATTTTTATATCTAATTTGTTTGATACTCCACTTTAAAAACAAAAGCAATGTTATTTTGCTCTCCTTTTATTTCAAAATTAATACGAATCCACGTGTCCTTATGGGATTATTGTACTTTTCCAGGCAATTTTTTTTTCTAAGAATAACTCCAAAATCGATTTTGAGGAAAATCGATTCAAAGTGCTGCCAGAGAAATAAAACAATAATAGACAAATAAACTTCAATTTTCTTATCTATGGTAATATGGAGTTTAGATATTTTCGTCAATTTAAAGATCGTAATTTTCAGCCAATTGGCGAAGAATATTAAGATTTAGAGGAATAAATTTCATAGATAGATTTGTCATACGTCTTATTTTATGGTTTACTAAAATTAACAAATAAAGTTTACATTTGTCGCATTCGTGGAAATCATAGACAATTTATTTAAGAAAATGTATTGATCGAGCCAGTTCTCTGCTTCCGGTCATATTGAGGTTATCTTAATACAATACAACTTAATATTTCATGAATTAATAGTTTTTGCGCAGTTCATTCCATACGTTTATTGTTACTTATAATTTATTGATAACACTGAACATTGTCATTGTCAAACTTAACTTGACAATTTTGACAAAATGATGACATCAATCAACTTTATTTTATTGTTTTGCCTTAGCCATCTCAGAGGAAAAATGCAGTGAAATTCTGTTTATATTATATAACTGTGTATATTGTTTCGTAAGAAACCAAATAAATGAGTGCTTGTAGTTTTCTAATTAGATATAACATTTGACATTGATCGACAAGAACTATCTATAACAAAAAACTCCTAGAAATAATATTGCATCTAAACAAGAGAATGAATTAAGTCTTTGTTATAAAAATCAACAAAAAACGAGCATTATTCATGTAATTACAATAAAATTCCTTGTAGAGAACGAGCTAAGAGATTCAAACATGACATCGAATTTGATACTGACATACTTGACATAAATTCTAGAATTTTCTTAAACTTTGCACTGCCACTCTGGCTTTTAAGGCCGTGTGGCAGTGTTAATTGCATCTATATCTATACATATAATAAAATCGAACTGTCTGTAGTATCAAAAGAAAAATTACAGATTTTAGGAAGATGATGTATTTGCGTTGCTAATAACGAAAATCACATGTAAATTTTTTCTGTCTGTTCACAAGCTGCGTTTGTTTCGGGTAATCTAAGAAACGGCTAACTAATTTCGACCGGACTTTCTCTGAAGGGTAGCTGACAGACAGGCATATTATAGGTTATTTTATTTTAATATTGCTTGGACGAAGTCGCAGGCAGCAGCTACTTGCAATATAAATTTGTGTCGAAACTAAGGGTATAAATTAAACAAAATTAAGTTAGGGAAGTTTATTACAAAAGCAAATACAAAATTCTCATATAGACTTATTACTACATAATACAAAATCTATCAAGAACTAGAAAGATTGAGATTATACACAAAAATATACTATTTATTCACTGGATAATTACTAAAAGCGCACCTTAGACAAAACTATCGCAAAACAGTTGTACGATTGTTGATTGTTTTGCAGCCAACCGTTCCACAACTGAACATCGAGTAGTGCCCATTATATAAGCTTGTAGATATCAAAGCGAGACTAAACAGTGGTGCAATAGTTTAGTCAAAGGTGCACTCTAATTACACCCATTTGTGAGTACTATCAGGGAATCTGTCAGTACCATAATATTACAATCGTTTGAACATTTAGATACGTGGGACAAAAATCAATACAACAGCTTTTAAATGTGTATGAAAAAAGTCGTTTAATGATACACGGCTTCATTTTTGTTATTATCCCTTCGTTTGCACTTGCTATATGATAAGTTATTTGTAAGAAGAGGTTGTCTGGTTTAGGGTTGTAACGGAAGCGGATACGGAAGCGAAGGGCTTCACCTGTGCAGAAGTGGAGGTTAACGGAAGCGGAAGTCAATAATAAAATATAAATTGCGATTTATTAAAAATAAAAACTAAAACTACGTTAATTTAAATTACAGATTGGTACATAATTACAAGATACAGTTTATTATGCAAATATAATGTAGTTATTTAGTTAGTTGACTTATCACGCCCGCGCGAGTCGCATAAACAATACCTAATCTGAATTAACCTCCGTTATAACTCCGCATAAGAAATAGCGGATGGATGGAATGTTGTGATGGAAGTGGATGCGGAGTTATCATTTCTTGCGGACGTTCCTCACTTACGGATGCCGAAGTGGAGTTCCGTTACAACCCTGGTCTGGTTGCAGAACAAGGCAAGAAGGAACACCGCGGATTTTTGCGATTGTATATATATACTAACCTGTTAATTAGGTTTTTTGCGTTATCATTGCTTCTTGTCATACAAATATACTAATTTAGATATTCCTTATTTTTGATAACAAGATATGAATATTATTGCTAAAATAAATTACACATAAAGTTTTTAGTATATTAACACGTTTACTGCGGCAAAAAAATCTTAATCTTCATCTGGTGCGGCGGGCCAAATTCGGCCCCCAATGATATTCCCGCCAGTGCCAGGTCTTTCTAGACCCAGCATTAGGATACATTAAATTGCTATTACTTTGTGGAAACATAATGTATATAAAAAAATCTTAATTCTTCATCTGGTGCGGCGGGCCTAAATGCACCCCCAATGATATTTCCGCCAGTGCCAGGTGTATCTAGACTCAGCAATAGGATACATTAAATTGCTATAGCTTTGTAGAAACATAATGTATATATTAAAAAAATCTTAATTCTTCATCTGGTGTGGCGGGCCTAAATGCGCCCCCAATTATATTTCCGCCAGTGCCAGGTCTTTCTAAACTCAGCACTAGGATTAAATTGCTATAACTTTGTGGAAACATAATGTATACCTGGGATAATCCTTTCACAAGCGCGAGATCAACATAGTTTTCTTTCCAAGTACCGCGTCAGGTCTATATCGGCCTGTTACGCAGTGAACGTGTTAAATACACAATTCGATTTAAATTTTTTCCTAACAAATAATCTACTAACATATTGATATCAATGATTATAATAGGGTTAAATCAAGGCATGGCAGAGCAACCGCTAGGGCGCTGGACAAAAAAGGGCGAAAGACTTAGGACCTATCCCACCAAATTATAAATTATCTGATAATCCAACGTGTAAAATAGGTGATCGAATTTTGTTCCCTTATCTGACAGTGATGTCTTTTTTAAGCTATCTGAGCCTCTATTAGCTAGTAGTGGGACAGGCCCTTAGGCTTTATAGAAATTCCATCGGGCGTTAGAGATAATAATGTACAAGGACAAATTATTATTGACTGAATAATGAATGAAAATAGTAAAATCACTTCTGTTTGTTTTGTATTGGCGATACTAGAAAATACACATGCCAGTAAAAAGGTAGTAGCTTGTATGTCATAGCTACTGGCACGAGTTTACATATACCACTAAGATAATTAGATCGTGCTATAGTTTGTCTAAATAATTTAGATTAGTTGGACAATTCACTTCAAAAGTAGGGATGGGTTGTGTAAAATAAGTCATGAATCTTATCGATTTTCGATTTTTATTCTCATAGAAGTTGGAATCGATAGATTTATAGTTATAACTTATGAATGTAAAAAAAAAACTGTTTTCTCAAATTAATAATGACTAACAAATAATACGAGTAAACAAATGTTTATTACTACTACAGCCATACGTAATCGAATTGCATTTCGCTATTATTTCTGTCATCACTTAATTCTCTACATTATAATCAATACTAGAATTGTCCTATAAATTAGTTAATAAGGAAATAATAATTTTAGTTGAGTTTGATAATTATTTAAACCGAATATCGATAGTTCATAATTGTTCGCTGCGTGTATCGTCACTACGATACCTGTCCATTAAGTACGTCAGTCTTCATACAAATTGAATTCGATACTTCATGCGTCATTTATCAAACTTATCTATCTTATTTAGACAAACTATAGTTACTATTATTATTTTCGAACACAGTCTCAGAGATACAAAGATACCGTCGTGGAGGACATCATCACCATTAGTTACTATTCGTATAAGACTATAGCTATAACGTGCCAGTATCTAACTATACCAGTTACTGGCATATGCATTACCTATTTTTTTTTATAAAATATTAGTAGATTTTTGTTAATTTACTAATATTTATTGAACCATTCCAACTAAGATTTATACTTGTGCTAGGATATGGATAGTCGAATGGCGGGATTCAAACCCTCAACAAGATGGTTATTGGAACCATTAGGCTATTGGCGCTTTAAAATATATATGGTCTTTTTGACCGATATCCCAAAAGAAGAAGGTACCCAATTCGTCTGTTTTTTGCTGTTTATTTCCGAACGTTTATCGTTTAACAGCCTTGAAATATCTAAGAAGGTCAGCATCAGCTTTCGGCACCCAGGCCGCGTTCAGAGCTATCGTATCCAGTGCTGCTGCAGCACCTCGCTCTTCGCCAAATAACTCTTTAAACTACAATAAAACAGTATCTTAACCACAGAAGTGAGACATTCTTTAGTTAAACACTTGTTTTAACCCTTAAATGCATTTTTTATAATAGAAGATGGCAAACGAGCAAGCGGCCTGAATCCACCGAAATGTAAAGCGACCGCTGCACAAAGACATCCGCAATTGCAGCGCTGCCTACCCTTCATTGACGGAGATGCACATAAAGAGGACATTTCCCCTTCCTATGCGTCTCCTCCACGTCAAATCCACTTTTTCTTCCCACCCTTTCCTCTTAAGAAAAGGGTGAAAAGGGAAAGGGACCTAAATTAAGCCTCCGACGCCACATTCATCAGACTGTACGCGGAATTGCTTCCACTTCACCCTGTTTTCTGTGTGGTAGTGGTATTACTGGGGGCGAACCGACCCTGCAGTGCGAAGATGTTAAAGCGGGCTCTACCACTGATAAATGATGCATAATGATGCATGCAACTTCTCTTCTTTAACCAATAGATTTAAAAAAAAAAATTTTTTTCTTTATTTTTCCCTTGATCAATTCAATTTACTACTCGTTGCAATTTAGGGTAAAAATCATGCATTTAAGGGTTAACTCTGATATTGTTATATCACACATCTTACTAATATTATAAATGCGAAAGTTTAGATGGATGTTTGTTAGAGTTTGTAGCATAAACGGCTGAAGGGATCCTGATGATATTTGGTATATGTAGAGGATAGTCTGGAAGAACACATAGGCTACTCACTTTTTTAATTCCATGCAGACGGAGTCGCGAGAGTAAGCTCGTTTATAATATTAGTATATATACTTGAAAATAATTTAATTTTAATAATTCTGTAAGAGGATATTCTTAAGGGAGTGGATTATGGCTGATAGAGATGTATGGAAGATAGAGAAGGTAAGGTGTAAAAGGTTAGAATGGGGGCATGTTATGAGGGATGAATCGCGTAACAAGGAGAACGTTAGTTATGAGTGTGGTACATCGGTAGAGGTAGACATAGAAAGAGATGGACTGCGTGGAAGGAGAGATGATGAAGGGAGTGATGACTGAGATGACGTATGATATAGTTATGGAGGACAAAAACCTTTTGCGCCTTACGGGAGTAGGAAGATGATGTTGATGACAGGTGTATGGCAATTTGAAGAATTCTGTAAGTGTGTCACTGCGTGTTTCTTGAAGTGTACTCACCCGCCAGTAGTCTGTGGGGAGGTGCAGACAGCGCGCGGCGGCGAGCAGCGCGGCGGGGGGCAGCGCGCCCGCCGACACCACGCGCCACACGCCCGCCGCGCCGCGCCATCTATACATAGAGCATAGCAATGCTAACTGTTCCCCTGCGGCTATACTAATATAATATCCACGGGTAAAAGGAATATTTGTTTCAACCGCCATTTTAAGCGATATTTACTATATTTGTAAAGAAATTAACATTTTATTTTAAAAACGGTTTCTAAACGATTGTCTATGGGTTGAATGAATGTTGTCTATTATTTGAAAAGCGACCTTAGAGGTATGGTATATTATTAAAAGACGATAAAATAGAAACTTAAATGTTGTTTCTTTATTAGTTATATAGTTATGTTAGTTGATAAGGTATTTTATTAGTGTAAGTTTAGCCCTCTTTAACATCTTCGCACTACAGGGCTCTCAGCAATACCACGACCACATAGAAGACAGGTGTGAAATGGAAGCAATTCCGCGTATTGATGAGTGTGGTGCCGGAGGCCTAATTTTAGTCCCTTTCCCGTTCCACCCTCTTATAAAGAAAGGATTGGATGGGAAAGTGGATTTGATGTTGGAGAAGACGCATAGGGGAAATATCCTCTTTATGTGCGTCTCCGTCGACTTAGGGTTTATGGGCAGTCGCTTCGCCATTTTGGCGGATTCAGGCCGTTTGCACGTTTTATATAAAAAGCGGGCTCTACCACTGGTTACACTTACTTGCAGGCGCCGGCGCAGAGCGCGCTCGCCCACGTCTTCCAATCACGACCTCGTTCTGCTTCGCTTGATAGTACCGTGAATGCAAACCTAGGAATATACAGAACTAGTTGATTCCGTGCTTTCCACATCTTCTATCTTCTAGAGTATTTAGTATAAGTTTATTAAATTGTTTTTTTTTTAGTAAATTAAGGTTATCATGAGAGTTAATTAAATTTATTTAATATTTAGTAAAGTATAGTGTACCAGATAGATTAAGGGATGTCATCTTTCGCCAATAAACTGTTTTTGGCAGTTTGGCGAATTTATTTATATGTAGAATTTGTATGTACTTTTTAAATAAATAAATTTAAAAAAAGGGAAAGAAATTATTAAAGAAAAAATAGACTAGTATGTATAATAAAATTAAAGTGTCTGTTTCTCGTGTGCATCTACTTGTTACCAGCGACCTTCCAATCAAAGTCCCATCCAAATCGCTCCTCCAGTTTCAGACATAGTGGTCCGGTCGTCATTTTGACAGCGCGGAATTAAAAAAAAGTAGCCTATAACATGCTCCTCTATGTGAGCTACCCTTCAGTGAAAGTCCGGTCGAAATCGGTCCAGCCGTTTCGGAGATTACCCGGAACAAATGCTTACGGACAGACAAAATATTTTTAAGTGCGATTTTCGTTATTACCAACGAAAATACACAACTTCCCCGAAATCTGTAATTTTTCTTTTGACAGTACAAATAGACACTTCAATTTTATTATATGTATAGAAGATAGATATAGATTATGGTACTGTTCCACAGTACATAAATGCTTTTTTTCATATTAATTAAATTACATTTCATGGGAGCCTTGAAACCTAATCCCCTATCAATAACAAAACATTTAGTGCCTAAATACCAAACACATTACAATGCTCTACTATCATGTTCTACCAATCTTACCTATAGAAAAGCCAGTCGTCAGCCGCCGCAGCCAGCGCTGGCAGCAAATTCGTAGCGCGGACAGAGTGAGAGGTCTGAGTGAGGAGTTCCTTCCATACTCGATGCCACGCGGCCGCGCCCCGCGACCTCACCCCCGCTACTAGCGCTGCCTGGAGTAAATGCGCGGTTTACACTTAGCCAGTGCAGTTGGTAAGTAGTGCCCATATGACACTTGGCTACTATGGAAGATAAGTAGTGTCCGGTTCACACGTAGCCAGTACAGTTAGTAGTACCAAGTTCACGCTTGGCCAGTACAGTTGGTTAGTCGTGACTAGATCGCAGTTGGTTAGTAGTGACCAGATCACAGTTGGTTAGTAATGACTGGATCAAACTTGGCCAATACAATTGTTTAGTAGTGCCCGGTTAAAACTAGGCAAGTGCACTTGGTTGGTAGTACCCGGTTAACACCAGCCCAGTACAGTTGGTAGTATTTCCCGGTTCATATTTGGCCCGTACAGTATGGTACTAGAGCCCGATTAACACTAGGCAAGTACAGTTGGTAGCATTGTCCGGTTCATACTTGGCCAGTACAGTAGGTTACTAGAGTCCGATTAACACTAGTCAAGTACAGTTAGTTAGTATTGCCCGGTTCACACTTGGCCAGTATTTAGTAGTACCGTCAGTACAGTTGGCCAGTTGCGACTGCAAGCGACGCTAATTGACGCCTTTTAGTTTCCAGTCAGTCAATTGACCATCCAATCAGAGCGCTTCTGACCAACTGTACAGGTCTGTTAACCGCGCATTACACTAAATAACTGGACCGTATATTGACTGGCTCAGTGTGAACGCTAACTGGCATCAGTAAGTCCATACTATCTATATCTGGCGGTCGCAACTGTCTCACTATACTGACCAAGTTTGAACTGAGAATGATGCACTGTTCACATGAGTGATAGTCTATTAACTTCCGTAATTAGTAATAACTGGACTGGCAATCTGGTATAATGTGAACAATAACTGACGCCAGTAAGTATAAACTATAAAATTGTTAAATTAGTAGATATAAATACTTACTTCTTGATATATCTCCGGTATAGTTTCATTGTTTTCAAACCAAGCGTCAAAGAGTTCTAAAGCTTGGTTAGTTATGTTCTCATTCTCCCACTCCACTCCCGCCATGAGAAGAGCACCACTCAGCCAACTGAGGAAGAGAATAGTCCTATAGAATACCTTGAAATAACAATACTCATGAGTTATAGAATCCCGACTTAAATGGTGGAATACTGATGGGTTATAGAATCCCGACTTAAATGGTGGAATACAGCTAGATTATAGAATACCGACTTTAATGGAAGAATACTGATGGGTTACAGAATACCGACTTAAATGGCGGAACACTATTGGATTAGAGACGAGCGACCTAAATGTAGAATTATTGTTGCGGTTTCTCTAGTGACTAAGGTAAGATGTGTTTTTTATTTATTGGATAAAATTGCAATAAGCTGTGTTCATTTTTAACATGTCAAAAATAATTTGTAGAATTGATTTAACAATGATTAAATCACTTTTCAGTTTTGTTGTGACAAAATTAATAGAATACAGACTTAATGTGATAAATAAAATATTATCCCACTCACAGTTGATCCTCACTCAAACCAGCTGCTTCTATCTGTTGCTGGGAGTACACTTCCACGTGGTGCAGCTGACTGAGCAGTCTGTTGAGATGAGGCGCGGAGGCTGACAGACGCAGCAGCTCCTTCCACCAGGAGAGGTGGGTGAGCACCACCCGCCATGGCGCCCAGTGCTGCTCCGTACTGAGACGCGCTAGAACCATCATCTTTTTTGTCCTATTCCCGTTGGGAGCAACAGATTTTTATCCGCGAAAACTCTATCATACGTCATCTCAGTCACTTCCTTCATCTCTTTCACACAATACGTCTCTTTCTACGTCTGTTCCTCCTAATTCCTGAAATCATTTAACTTACCAGCAGCCGCCATTGCCCTACTGGCGGGCAATCTCCCAGCGCGACTCAATATAAATGCATCGTCTAATAATAGAGCTCTCTCCGCTGGTATTCCATTATCATATAATTCAGCTGCACGCTGAGCTAGTATTTCTGCTGACTGGAAAATAAACTGGTTATTAGTAGAAAAAAACGTTAATTAGACAACAAGGCGAACATTTATGGGAAGTTCATATTAACTCTAACTTTTTTTTTATAATACAAGGTGGCAAACGAGCGTGCGGCCACTTGAATTCGCCAAGAAAGCGAAGCGATCTACAATTGCAGATGCATTGCCTACTCTTAATCGATGGAGGAGACGCACATAAACAGAATATTTCCCCTTCCTATGCGTCTCCACCGTCAAATCCCGTTTCCCTTCCCAACCTTTCCGTATAAGAAAGTGATTGGAATGAAAAGGGATATTAAGCCTCTGGCACCACACTCAACACACTTTCAGATAATAATACTTATAACATTAGTATAGACAAACCTCTCCTTCAGCATGATCTTGCGGAGCGACTCTGTATAGCCCTCTCGCTCCCACATTGTACCTCACCCACTTGTGTTTGCCCAAATCTGGTATTACCACTGGAATAAGGTAAATGTACCAGTTATTGACGTAGCGTAGGACCATTTAAGGTAAATGCACTATTTATTGACGTATTGAAGTACTACTCAAGGTAAATGCACTATTTATTGACGTATTGAAGTACTACTCAAAGTAAATGCACTATTTATTGACGTATTGAAGTACTACTCAAGGTAAATGCACTATTTATTCACGTATTGAAGTACTACTCAAGGTAAATGCACTATTTATTGACGTATTGAAGTACTACTTAAGGTATATGCACTATTTATTGACGTATTGAAGTACTACTCAAGGTAAATGCACTATTTATTCACGTATTGAAGTACTACTCAAAGTAAATGCACTATTTATTCACGTATTGAAGTACTACTCAAGGTAAATGCACTATTTATTGACGTATTGAAGTACTACTTTAGGTAATGCACCACTTTTTTATAATGTAATGTAACAAACGAATTAGCGGCCACCAAAATCGTCGAAAGGGAAAAACGACCGCTGCTCATAGACATTTGCAATTATGCATTCCCTCCCCTTAATTGACGGAGGAAGAGACTTACATAAAGATAATATTTCCCCTTCCTATAAGTCTCCTCCACTATAAAACCTACTTTCCCTTCCCTTAAACTTATAATAAAAGGGTGGGAAGCAAAGAGATTCAATCTAGGCCTTCGGCATGCAGTTCTTGACGTATTGTAATATTTGTATATTGTATTTAAGGTAAATGTACTAATAATTGACGTTTATAAATTCTTATTTACTTACTTTCAGTTTCATTCATCCATATTAAATGTGTTACATTTTCCGCCCAACGAGAAGTCCGATGAATTTTCGTGTCATTATTTACTTCATACCTGAAAATAAAGCGAAATAACTTTTTATTTTTTTTAATTGTAAAAAAAATCAAAATACAAATAAAATCTAAGAATAAACATATCGTATATCAATCAGAGGCAATGTAACTTTCTAATGGTGAAGAGTTTTTTAAAATCGCCCAAGTAGTTTTTGAGTTATTTCAATAGATACCAAAATACAAATCTTTCCTCTTTATAATATTAGCATAGACATCCGTCACTGCTGTTTATATCTTTCTAACGGTGAAAATAATTTTAAAATCGTCCCAGTAGTTTTTGAGTTACTTTAATATACACAAAAATACAAATCTATTATCTTTATAACATTAGTATAGACATCAGTCGCTGATCTCTATAATAATATCTTTATAATGGTGAGAGATGTTTTGAAATCGTCCCAGTAGTTTTTGGGTTTGTCCGTTGTACCAAAAAATCCATCCTCTTCGCAGTACAGTTTATGTAACTATATGATGTTTTTTTTTTATTTTAGTAGAAACCAACTTACCAAGTTCCATTATGGATGCTTTCAGTTGTATTTTTCCATACTCTTGTTATATTTTCCTCATCGTTACTTTCTATTGGCCCGACTGAGAATGTAACAGGAATAACCCATTTAGGTAAAGGTGGGGCTTTTGTTGTCTTTATTGTTGTTCGTTTTGTTGTTGTTGTCGGTTGTGGTGTTGTTGTTGTTGCGTTTATATCCTCTTCTATTATCTCCGTGAAGTTTTCTGTGAAGGAAAAAAATATTTTTTTAATTCTCAAAGTATCAAAATTGTTTAATACTATTTGGTGCATATTTTACTATTTTGTTAAAGAAGGGTGAAGTTATATAGATTTTCTTATTAAAAAGAGGATCAGTTTATTTTTTATACGTAAAGTATAAACTCAAAAACTAAAGGGGATTTTTTCAAAAATTCTTTCACTATTAGAAAGGGAAATTATAATAACTTGAAATCTACAAAATACTAAGTTTTTACCAGGTTTCAAGTTAATGAAGTTAGTTACATATATTAATATAATAAAGGATTTGTATTTTTGCGTGTATTGGAATAACTTAAAAACTACTGGACTTTTACCTTCATTTTATTACTAATTTTTAATTTTACGTGGACAACGTCGAGGGTAACAGCTAGTAATTAAATAAATGCCTAAGCTTACCAGGTTCATAGAACAATTCATCTAGATCAGCTCTGAGCTCCATTGTTAAGAGGCTGTTCATCATCACAGGCTCCGGGTCTGGTGGCTCAGCGCTCATCACGAATCTGTAACCAGGTGAAGTGTATAGACGAAGTCGCGGACAAAAGGCAATTTAATAGTCACTAGTAAGACCATTTGTCGTAAGAATTTTTTGTATTAACGCAATGGAACCCGAGGGTTATATAGGGTTGAAAAGGTTATTGGTCTTCGAACGTGGATAAGGTAAAGTAAGGGATATTATTAGGTACATTATTCAAAATAGTTACATTTATTTATCTATATGCTATCTACACTAAAATCTTACTTCTTAGTAATATTATAAATGCGAAAGTTTAGATGGATGGATGGATCGATGGATGTTTGTTGCAGTTTGTAGCCTAAACGGCTTAACGGATTTCGATGAAAATTAGTATAGGGGATAGTCTGGAAGAACACATAGGCTACTTTTGTTTTTTTTTTTAATCCCATGCGGACGGAGTCGCGGGCGAAAGCTACTTACCATAAAGATTTGTTTGTATTGATATAACTCAAAAACTAATGGCCAATTTCAAAAATTCTTTCACAAAAAAGCTATATTATGCGTAAGTAACGTAGGCTACATTCTATACTATTTATCATAAGAAATATCATTTATGTGCGTCTCCGTCAATTAAGGCAACGCATTTGCAATTACGTATGTCTATGTGGTTTTCGCCAATTCGGCGAAAAAAAGATAGTTACCGTTCTTGTCTTATAATAACATCAGGTCCTGATATCCTCGTGGATAATAAAGGATATCCAGCTTTGTCACACCAGCCGTCCCACGCGTGCGCCGGAGTGTCTTCTGTACCATTCCTTTGTAACGCTCGCCAGAGGTCCCTGTAGATACCATTAAATCATCATCACCAGCTATAGGTCCCCACTAAGGGGGAGCCTACCCTAAGTTAGGGATTAGGCCATAATAAAAGTATGACTAGGCCATAAAAAAGTGTAACTCGGCTATTAAAAAAGTATGAATAGCCCATAAAAAAGTGTGACCAGGCCATAATCAAACCACGCTGCACTGCAGATTAATAAAAATATGTACATATGAAAGTTCGAAAATCACAGGTACAGAATTCGAACCCAAGACCCGTAGATTACAAGTAAAGTGATCAAACTACTGAAATTGTTATCCAATGTCAAAAACCTTTGTCAATTCTGCATTTGAATTTTGACATTTACAAATGTTAACGATAAAATAAATAAATATGCGGATGCAGCCGCGCGGGAACAGCTAGTAAACACAGATTAAACTATAGTGCATGCTATACCTAGCGTCAGTGCTGGAGAAGCGATGTTCAGTGAGCAGGCTGGCGAGCGCCGCGCGGCCCGCCGCCTCGCCCGCCGCCTCTATCGCCATACTCACTATCGCTGCACCCTATTTCCCCACACATTTCATTAAAAATCAATAATTTAGGCTAATTTTACAATATATCACTTAAAAGAAAGGTAGATATCGAATGACACAGAAAAACATCAAAATTATAATTTAATTGAAATACAAAAATGTTTATTTTAATGAAATCATTAAAATATCAGAATGTCCATTTTAATGAAATCATTGAAATATCAGAATATCCATCTTGAATCAATATGAAATCGTTAAAATAACAATATGTCAATTTTAATGACACCATTAAACTAATAGAATACCAATTTTAATGACATCATTAAAATCATAGAATAGTCTTAAATACTATATTCCAGTAGAATTTTCTAAAAATTATCTTAATTTATACCTTGTGTAGTGATAATTCTTCAGCCGTCGATTCAATATCGGCTCGCTCTAATCTCGGAGTCGCGACCGCACGTACTGAATAGCTCGAATCCAATCTGTAAGGAATATAATAAAATATATATTCAAAACATATTAAAACACAAATACAAAGTGTTATGAGTTAACTATACCCGTGTATGGCCGTTTTTATTTACCATCAAATATGGCCTTTAGACTTTAGAATATTGATAAATAGATTAAAGCTTTGTCTAATTTAACTTAACAATATACGAAATAAAACATATAAATATAGGGCTGGCTAGGGTAGCACAGTTGAGCCGCCCAGGGCGCAAGACAAAATGTTGACACACTATACTTTTTATGCATCCTTCCCAAAAATGCTAAGAAAGGGGGCGTTGTAGAAACTAAGCCAAGGGCCCTTATACCGCTTAAACTGACCACAAAAGTGTACTAGTTTAATCTCTTTATATGAAGCATGTATAAGCAATACAAGACTTACCTAAGCGCAGGTAACACATGATCTAAAAGCAGTGCGTCCTCTTCCCTCTCAGCGGTCGCGTCACTCAGCGGTGTTGCTTTCTCGCTCAGCACTGACGTCAGCGCCTCCATCAGCCACTGAGAACTCCACCAGCGAGGGGACACAAGCCCGCCGAACCACTGCCACATACAACAGTAGTGCAGCCGGCTTTGACATTCGCACAACTGGCGGGAAGTGGAAGTAATTCCGCGTACACTCGGATAAGAGTGCCGGAGGAGGCTAAGTAAGACTAAGGCTAAGGAGGTCCCTTTTCCTTCCCTCCCTTCTTTTATACGAAAAGGATAGGAACGGAACGTGGATTTGACGCTAGAGGAGACGCATAGCAAGAGGAAATCGCATCCGCTATTGCGAATGTCTATGGGCTGTCGCTTCGCCATTTCGGCGGATTCAGGGAGCCGCTTGCTAATTTGCCACCTTATAATATAAAAAAGCAGAGTCACATGGTGACTAAAAGGACACTTATGTCCGGTTTCCAATCTATTTTTTTTTCGATAGTGCTTACAGTTTGACAAATTATTAAATGAGGTTCCAAACTATGTTAATTGAATCATAATCCATTGAAACTTAACACTAATCACTAGGTAATCACATAATAAATGGACACTTCAGAAATCCAACATTAAAGACTCTGAGTTCAACTACAGACAAAACCCCTATTAACTAATACTACTATATCACTCTGTGGGAGAATACAAAATTAAATGACAGTCGAAAACATTACAAAAAAGGAAATTTTTAGATTAAAAAAATAAATGAAATCATTTGTAACTTACTTGTTGTGCTATTAACTTAGCAATAACTTTAGTGTCAGTGAGCGTGATTGGATCTAGAATAATTAAACCCCATCCCTCAGAATAGGGGTTGCTTCCATCGACCACGACTATATCTGTTGAAATTAAAAAAAAAATAACTATTAATTTATTACTCCAAGGAAACTAATTTCTTAACGCAACGTGCAAGATTTCATAAGATCTCAGTTGACAATATAATTTACTAGTTTTCGCCCGCGACTCGGTCCGCGTGGAATTAAAAAAACAAAAGTAAATAGTCTATGTGTTATTCCAAACTATCCTCTACATCTGTGCCGAATTTCATCGAAATCGCTTCAGTAGTTTAGTCTACTCCGCGTTTATCCGTTGATTATGTGTCGTAAGTTTCTGTTTCGACCGAAAAGCAAAACAAGGCCGAAAGTTCGGTTTCTGTTTCGGCAAAAAAGAGAGGACAAGGCCGAAAGGTTGCTTTCAGTTTCGGCAAAAAGAGGATAAGGCCGAAAGTTCGGTTTCTGTTTCGGCAAAAAAGAGAGGACAAGGCCGAAAGGTTGCTTTCAGTTTCGGCAAAAAGAGGACAAGGCCGAAAGTTCGGTTTCGGCTTTGTCCTCTCTTTTTGACGATATTAAGATCTTGTAAGCGTTGCGTTAAAACAATGTTTACGTTACATTTACGTTACGTCGCTATGTAAAGGTCTCTCATGTTAGACTTACCGAACTTAGGCAGTGGATATGAAGTATTCAGTTCATATGCGAAGAGTTGGATAGTTCTTTGCACCCAATCCAGAAGAGGCCTACAATAACAATTGATATTTTGACAAGGAATATTCGAAGATTTAAAATCTCAGGAAGATTTAAAAATCATATTAGTTAGTTAAATGGGAGTTTTTTAAACTAACCGTAACTTAGTTTCTAGTACGAGTTACCGCTTGATTTCTTTAATAAATACCTAGTTATTGTACATTTTTGGAGAGTTATGAAAACGGCCGTGTTTTAAAAAAAATCTGCCAGTCAAGTTCCATAACGATTTTTTTTATTAAGCTTTTCAGTGGAAGATAATTTCAAAAAATATTGAAAATAATGGTTTTTTAGCTCTCATTTTTAATTTGGATAGATACTTGATGTATCCAAATTATGATGTTTTAGTGTAAAAGGTTAGAGTGGTATAGGCATGTTATGAGGGATGAATCGCATGTTACAAAGACAACGTTAGTTATGAGTGTGGTACACCGGTAGCGGTAGACATAGAAAGAGATAGATTGTGTGAAAGGTGACATGATGAAGGGAGTGATCACTGAGATGACGTATGGTAGAGTTATGGAGGACAACAACCTGTTCCGCCTACGGAAGTAGGATAAGGAGAAAGATAATGGCGCCTTAAAGATACTTACCCAGACTCATCAAGAACTGTTTCCTGGTCACTGTACAGGCTGATCTCAGTTGGCACATCTGACTCCGTGTCATCGGTGGCATTGATTGGAGCCGCTCGTCGCTGCAGGCGGCATACCGCCAATGACATCATGTGTGGTGGCATCGGCGGGGAAAGAGAGAATTCGTCTTGTAACTGTTGGATAACCCAGTTAACAGTCTAGGGTTCGAATGTGTTCCCATAACCCAGATATCGGACAGGAGGAACACCGCTGGGTAAGTGGGTATTCCGGCCACGTATGTTCTTTTGGCTATCGAGTCCCACATATGGGGATATTGGGATGCGTAAAGGCATTTTCCCAGCGAGAAAAAAAGGGTTCGAATTCCAGTTTTGTGGATAAAATTAGTAAATCTATAGCTATGTATTAATTGGTAATCAAAATAAACATGGTTTCTTTAGATAAATTAAAACGTCAAAATTGCAAAAGTTACTAAAGGGCGGTTTCTCAACTACATTTAACAATTCTTTAGTGTTAAGATCGATAACTTCATGTTCGTTTCCGGACTGTGTAACTTGAATATAACTCGGTTAAAACTTAGGTCAACTCAATATTAAAGAATCGCTAATGCTGGGTTTCTGAAGTTACCATTTATTTTATCATTAGTGTTAGATTGACAAGTTCCAACGGAATAAAACTCATGTTACGTAATTCGAAAACGTATTTCATAAATTTATCGAACTAAAACCTCTATCGAACGGTTAGATGTAGTTAAGACACCAGCCATAAGTAAAAAATAGTAAACATCAGTAACTTAATATAAGAAGTTTAAAAGAGATGAAATTATTTAGATTTCATTGACATTTTGACATCTGTAAGTTTAAAAAATCTTACCAATCTATGGCCTAAATAAAAACCGGCCTCTTCTGTTGCAACTATCGGCATATTAGTCAGAGATACGTGAAACCTGAAAAATTATAATTATCACAAACTTATAAATAACTAACTGTTACCGTGCGGCTTCATCCGCATGAAATAATAAAAAAAAATATTGTTTACATTTGTCAAATACTCAATTACTTGTCAAATACTTTGCTTCCTTAATGTTGGCAGCTTGTAGTTTATAGTCTCTTTCCCACATGAACGGTTTTTTTCCAATTTATTTACCCCCTAAGTTAAATAGCGTGTCGTGAATGTAGGACTTATTAAAAATAGGATTAATCAAAAATATGCTGTGATCCTACGCCACGAAGTAGTGTGTTTACGCTTTATTATATTAGTATAGATAATGTATTTATTTAGTAATTTTGATAATAAATTACCTATCTCTAACAATTGTGAGTTTAAATGTCGCTCTCAAATGAGGTTCATCTAAACAAGGGAAAGCTGAACGAGCGTGCGTCAGCCAAAAACGAGAAACCGCACATCGTCTGAAAAAACAATAAAAAAAATATAAAAATGAATAATATTAGATATTAAGTAAAATAAGAAATAGGAAACTTGAATAAAATTGGTCATTAAAAACGGCCATAGTCCGGTATAGTCTAGTGGCACCGACTTGAAAGTTATACTTGATTATGGCCGTATTTTAATTTTTCAACCTTTATAAACAAGCTAAATTTTACTTTAATCTCCGCATGTAATTAAAAAAAATCAAAGACAAGTAGCTTATTTTAATAATTTTATTACTTACTAATATTATAAAGGCGATAATTTTGTCTAGTGTTGGCACCGACTTGAAAATTATACTTGATTATGGCCGTATTTTAATGTTTCATGTATCTTTGTAAACAAACTAAATTTTTCCCCAGTCTCCACGTAAATAGTAAGACAAAAATATGCTTTTCTTGGTTCGTACTTTTTTGACAGTGCGGACGGAGACGCGTGCAACAACTAGTGTATATATGAAAAGACTTACCGTCTGTGTGTTCCGGTTAAAAAGAAACCCCTCTGTTTGTCGCTTTTACCTAACTTTGTGATGTAACGAAGACTTAAAGTGTAGTTGTATTTGCGTCGGAGTTTTTCCTTTAAAAAGAAACAAAAATATTATTTAAACTAACAAATTATAGTTTGTCTAAATAAGATAGATTAGTTTGATAAATGACGCATGAAGTATCGAATTCAATTTGTATGAAGACTGACGTACTTAATAGACAGGTATCGTAGTGACGAAACACGCAGCGAACAATTATGAACTATCGATATTCGGTTTAAATTATTATCGAACTCAACTAAAATTATTATTTTCTTATTAATTAATTTAGAGGACAATTCTAGTATTGATTGTAATGTAGAGAATTTAGCGATGACAGAAATAATTTTATTTTTATTTATAAAATTATGACACATACATTTTTACACAATACAATAAGTAACATGCAGATAATTTGTCCTAATTATAGGTTTACACGGCATACATAGAAAAATAACAACAACAACAGTAACAACAGTAGACAGAACATGTTTTTATCTTTTTTTTTATTGAACCCAAAAAGTAAAAATTAAATTTAAGTGATAACCTCACGTAGATATTTTTTAAATGTTGGTCGCTTTCTCGCAAGAACTTTTTTTTTCAATTACTTCCCCCCTAACCTTAATAGCGTGAAAATATATAGCCTAAAGCGTGACGTAACTGTAGGGGTTTTTATTAAAGAAAGAATTATTTAAAAATATGCTGTGATTGCTGACATCTTAGGCCACAAAGTATGTGTTTACCCTTGATTATATTAGTATAGATATATTACCGTCTCTTTCAATCACCTTAAAAAAATAGAGATAGCATTATACAATTGCGAATACTTACTTTGAACTCAATATATGTTTGATCAGCCGGCGGGTAGTCTAAAGTCTTCACTATTTTTGGTCCTAACGAGCCTCCACTTTTGAACAATGCCCTCTCTGTTACATTCATATCTCTCACATTAAGGACTAAGAAACCAGTGTCGCGGTCCACTCTAAAGTCTATAGAGACTTCACCTGTTAAAACATAAATAATTTTTAAAACAGTGTTAGAGCCCACTTAAATATTTTCTCACGAGCAAGCGGCTGCCTGAATTCGCCGAAATGGCGAAGCGATAGTCAATAAAAATCCGCAATTACTGCGTTCCCTACACTTTTTTTAACTAATATTATAAAGAGGAAAACTTTGTTTGTAATGAACTCAAAAACTATTGGGCCGATTTCAAAAATTATTTCATCATTAGAAAACTACGTTGTCAGTGAGTAACATAGGCTATGTTTTATATTATTTCATGGACGGAGTCGCTGGCGAAAGCTAGTCTTATATACTCTCCTTTCTCTAATATAAAAAAAAACATACAGACGAATTGAGTACCTCCTTGTGGAAAGTCGGTCAAATACTAATATCATAAATGCGAAAGTTTAGATGTATGGATGTTTGTTAGTTTGTAGCCTAAACTGCTGAATAGATCTCGATAATTGTCTGGATAACAGTCTACTCAATTCTGTTCTAATTCCACGCGAAGTCGCGGGCGAAAGGTAGTGAATAATAAAATTTCCTTACCACGTAGTTCTCCTGTCGTTAGATTTGGATGTAGCCAGAGACTGTAATGCTTTGGTATCATAAATGTAGGAAGTCGGACTCCACGCCAAGGAAACACCGCGCCATTAGATGCTATTCTATCTCTATACTCGCTGTATAGAAATTATACTAATATTATAAATGCAAAAGTTTAGATTTTTTTAATACTATAAGGTGGCAAACGAGCAAGCGGCCTGAATCCACTGAAATGGAAAGCGACTGCACATAAACATCCGCAATTGCAGCGCTGCCTACCCTTCATTGACGGAGACGCACATAAAAGAGGACATTTCCCCTTCCTATGCGTCTCCACCGTCAAAACAGTGGTTTTAACAGTGGTAGTGCCCGCTTTAACATGTTAGCACTGCAGGGCTTGCCCCCAGTAATACCACGACCACACAGAAGACAGGCGTGAAGTGGAAGTAATTCCGTGTTTCGTCTGATGAGTGTGGTGCCGGAGGCCTAATTTAAATCCCTTACTCCTTACCACCCTTTTCTCATAAGGAGAGGATGGGATGGGGAAGTGGATTTGACAGTGGAGGAGATGCATAGAAAGGGGAAATATCCTCTTCATATGCGTCTCCTCCGTCGGATAAGAGTAGGCAACGCATCTGCAATTGCGGATGTCTATGGGCAGCGGTCGCTTTGCCATTTTGGCGGGTTCGGGTGTTCGCTTGCTCGTTTACCACTTAATGTTATAAAAAAAAATCCGCTTTTTCTTCCCATCCTCTCCTCTTAATAGGGTGGAAAGGGAAAGGGATTAAATTTAGATCTTAGATGGATGTTGGTTAGAGTTTGTAGCCTTAACAGCTGAACATATTTCAAAGTTATAGTCTGGAAGAACACATGGGCTACTTTATTTCCACGCGGACGGAGTCGCGGCAAGCTAGTATTAGATATATGACATATGAAAGACATTTAAGAAATATATAGACTTGACAGTGAATGTTTTTTCACCGGTAACTTCTTTGAAAGGTACTATGGTGACTACACTAGGGTGATTAGGACATAGTCAACCACGCTGCACTGCGGGTTGGTTGACTTCACACATATCTTTGAATTTCTTCGCCGATATGTGCAGGTTGCAATATGTTTTCCTTCACCGTAAGAATGTCGGGTAAATTATGTACATATAAAAAATCTATAATCACAGGTACAGCAGGATTCGAACCCAAGACCTGTAGATTACAAGTCAAGTGCTCAAACCACTGAGCCAACTACGTTTCCTCTATGTATTTTTTTAATGTCTTTGATAAGTGTCAAAGTTATTTCAAAAATTCCTAGAATTTTTTTTTTATAACATAAGATGGCAAACGAGCAAGCGACCACCTGAAACCGCCAAAATGGCGAAGCGATTGCCCATAGACATCCGCAATTACAGCGTTGCTTACCCTTATCCGACGGAGGAGACACACATAAAGAGGATATTTCCCCTTCCTATGCATCTCCTCCACCGCCAAATCCACTTCCTCTTCCCAACCTCTCCTTATAAGAAAAGGATGGTACAGAGAAAGGGACTTAAATTGGGCCTCCGGCACCACACTCATCAGACTGTACACGGAATTGCTTCCATTTGACGCTTGTCTTCTGTGTGGTCGTGGTATTACTGGGGGCGAGCCCTGCAGTGCTAAGATGTTAAAGCGGGCACTACCACTGTTATATGAGACGGCACTGAATTTGACAACATAGTACCTGTCAAAGAAGTTAGCGGTGGAATGTTCACTGTCTAGTCTATATTTTTAAATGTCGACAACTATTGAAAGTACAGTGAAAAAGACAATACAGTTCACGTCAAAATACACATTAAATTATAGTTTGTTTAAATAAGATAAGATTAGTTTGATAAATGACGCATATGAAGTATCGAATTCAATTTGTATGAAGGCTGACGTACTTAATAGACAGGTATCGTAGTGACGATACACGCAGCTAACAATTATGAACTATCGATATTCGGTTTAAATATCGAACTCAACTAAAATTATTTTTTTTTATTCACTAATTTAGAAGACAATTCTGGTATTGATTATAGTGTAGAGTATGAATTTAGCGATGACAGAAATAATAGCGAAATCCAATTCGATTACATACGGCTGTAGTAGTAATAAACATTTATTTACTCTCATTATGGTCATTATTAATTTCTATAAGAATAAAAATCGAATATCGATAACATTAATGACTGATTACACAACCCATCCCTACTAAATTTGAAATGATTTGTCAAACTAATCTAAATTATTTAGACACACTATATTGAAAGTACAATGAAAAAGACAATATAGTACACGTCAAAATACACATAAAATTAACTACACTTACTTATTAGCAGATGCAACACTAGTTTCCGGTTCAGTAGGAAGTTGTCCCGGTATAAGGGGAGTGCCGCCAGCGCAGGGACAATCTGTAAATAAAAAAATGATATTTTAACTACAGGGTGTTCGGTATAGGGTCTGACAAACCAAGTGACCCATTTGGCCAAAAAAAGATTCTTGATTGTATTTTTGACCGACTTCCCTTGGGAAGGTACTCAATTCGTCTGTATGATTTTTCATGTGTGTTACGGCATAACTCCGCCGCTAGTGGACCGATTTTGATAATTCTTTTTTTATCCGAAAGGGATTGCTTGCAGGTGCGTCCCATTTTTTTGGTTGATTTTTGGAGTCAAAGACTAATTACGCAAAGAGTATACTACCGGTATACCGGTAACTTTTTAATGGTATACCTTTTTAATGGTTTAAAGAATTTTCAAAATCGCCCTAATTGTTTTTGAGTTATTTCATTACAATCAAAGTTTTCCTCTTTATAATATTAATATAGATGAAGGCAGACATTTTAAAAGTATAGACGAGATAGTGTACAATTTTTCACCGGTACTTTTTATGAAAGGTAACATCAGTTGTCAAGTTTAATGCCGTCTCGCGTATTGACATGTAATAAAACATTTTACTAAATTATAATAAGCTCCATCTTTTGTTATAAAATAGTAAACATTTAAATATTATTTAATGCCATCTATCAGCAGTTAATTTAAATAAAAATGCCTCAAATGAAGTGTCAACTATGCCAACTCTATAATTTTTTTGAATCTATGGGTCAAGGGCAAGTTAATGGTTTATTTACGAAAGTTTAAAGGCCTGTCCTGCCTGTCCCACCACTGACTGATAGAGGCTCAAATAGCAGAATGACGTCACTGTCAGATAAGGTAACAAAATCCGAAATTTCCATCACATATTTCACACGTTGTTATCAGACAATTTACAATTCGGTGGGACAGGCCCTAAATCTTTTTTTCTTACCTGGTTGTGGACTTGCGTATACGACTATTAATGCAGTAGCAAATATAGCTGTAAAGACTAATGCGGTGAGACACAGCGCTTTACGCTGCGAGCAAACAGCTACAGGTGCCTCTAGTTCCCTCGCTTCTCTCGCTTTGTCCGTATCTGGAAGACAGAGATAGCAAACTTGATCGATATATTCGGTATAAATACGTCACTATTGTTATTGCGATGATTGGAGTTGGTAGATAAATCAAGGACTTAGTACTGGTGATACAAAACCTAACGTGTGTAACCTGCACAAGCTTGAGTTTATTTTTTGGTACGGTGTAGTATACTTTTATATCTAGGCCATGTTTTGCGACCCGAAGAATACGGCCTTCTTCAACTAATTATGATAGATAACGTCGCAAGCAAAAGACGCGCTGGAAGAAAAAAGAAACCGCGGTTGCGAAATATCAAGAAGTGGACGAACATTGCCAGCGTAGAACACCTATTTCGCTTGGCACAAGACCAGGAAAAGTACACTGAGCTGACGGGCAAACTCCGTTAATGGAGAGGCACTTAGAGAGACAGAGGGGTATACATTTAAGTTAAAAAACTGAAGCCCTTAAGCCTTAAGCTAATAAGTATGGATAGTTAGTTTGTGTCCAACACGGCTCATATGTTAAGAACACTTTAGAAACCTTGGACTTATTTAAAAATGCTTACATATAAGATTTGAGACTCTTTTGAATACACTTTAGTTTGTGACCTCCAGATTGAAAAGATAAGTGTGATTTGGCTCACAGCCGAAGACTAAATATCAGTGAGATTTAAAATGACGTCAACGCCATCTATTGCTAACATTGAGATACAGTGCATTTAATAATTTTTTTACAATAAACCACGAACGCCGAATATTGAAACATTTAAATATGTACATCTCAAATGATAAGACCACACTTGGAGCATGCGCACACATTTGACTAAACTAAATGTTGTGCGATTGTCGATTGTTTCAAGCCTCCAACTGTTTAGTTGCTCAACTAAAAATCGTGTGAGTAGTGTAACCTCAATATAAGCTCATAGGAACATTTAAATAATTTAAATTCTTCTTCTTTTCTAATGGCTGGAGACCTAAAAAGTGTAAAAACTCCTTGAACAAACCGAGACTTAAAAAGTTATGCGATAGTTTAGTCAGAGGTGTGGGTGTGCGCTTTAAGCAGCGCTTACAAAGTATTTAAGATTAACTATTACGATTCAATCAAAAACTAGTCAACATAGGAGTCTAGTAGTGCGAATTTCATACGAAGTCTTTTTTTTATATCATAAGGTGGCAAACGAGCAAATGGCGAAGGGATCGGTACCCATAGACATTTAAAGTGGTAGAGCCCGCTTTAACATCTTCGCACGAATTGGTCGGCTCGCCCGGTGTAATACCACGACCACACAGAAAACAGGCGTGAAGTGGAAGCAATTCCGCGTTTCGTTTGATGAGTGTGGTGCCGGAGGCCTAATTTTGGTCCCTTTCCCTTTCTACCATTTCCTTAGAAGGAAAGGATGGGAAGGAAAAGTGGATTTGACAGTGGAAGAGATGCATAGGAAGGGGAAGTGTCCTCTTTATGTGCGTCTCATCCTCCGTCAATTAAGGGTAGGCAACGCATCTGCAACTGCGGATGTTTATGGGCAGCGGTCGCTTTCCATTTCGGTGGATTCAGGCCGCTTGCTCGTTTGCCACCCTATATTATAAAAAAAAAACATTTGCAATAGCGTATGCGTTGCCTACCCTTGATCGACGGAGAAGACGCACATAAAGAGAAAATTTCCCCTTTCCATGAGTTTCCTACGCCGTCAAATCCATGTTCCCTTCCCATGCTATATATCCACTTAACTGAATAAGACGATAAAATACCAGAATTAAAAACCTATATTCTTACAGCGTTATAAAACAACTGCGTTGAATAATATTAAAAAGTTTTCCTGCATTTCACAAAGTAATACGCACGCGATCCTTTCGCCCTTTTTTTAATTACCGCGTTAATGAGGTACTCATTCCATCTCACGCCTCTACGTTACGTAGAGTACCGTCAGCATAAAAAGAATCTTACGATAGTGTGTCTAAATAATTCAGATTAGTTTGACTATTAATGTCACATTTAGTAGGGATGAGTTGTGTAAATTCAGTCATGAATCTTATCGATATTCGATTTTTATTCTTATAGATATTGGAATCGATAGATTTATGGTTATAACTTATGAATTTAAAAAAAAAAACACTGTTTTATCAAATTAATAATGACCATAACAAATAATGAGAGTAAATAAATGTTTATTACTACTACAGCCGTACGTAATCGAATTGGATTTCGCTATTATTTCTGTCATCGCTAAATTCTCTACACAATATTAGAATTGTCCTCTAAATTAGTGAATAAGAAAATAATAATTTTAGTTGTGTTTGATAATTATTTAAACCGAATATCGATAGTTCATAATTGTTCGCTGCGTGTTTCGTCACTACGATACCTGTCTATTAAGTATGGCATTTACCTTCATACAAATTGAATTCGAAACTTCATATGCCTCATTTATCAAACTAATCTATCTTATTACAAACTATAATATTATAAATGCGAAAGTTTAGATGGATGTTTGTTCTAAAAAACATCCATGTCAAAGTCAATGTTACAAACTCTAGTTTGTACCCCAAACGGCAGAAGTGATCTCGAGAACCTAACATGCCGTAAGTACGAGGACTCTCTGTATGTTATTATGAGGCCGCCCGGGTCTGGGAATTACAGTCTAAAGAATGTAGTTATAGTATACTAGTTTATGCCCGCGACTCCGTTCGCGCGAAATTAAAAAACTGAGTAGTCTATGGGTTTAGATTATCCTCTACATCTATGCCAAATTTCATCGAAATCCGTTCAGCCGTTTAGGCTACAAACTCTAACAAACATACATCCATCTAAACTTTCACATTTATAATATTAGTATGATTAGTAAGATAAGATTATGCCAACCGTACATCGTAAGGACTCGTAGTGTTAAGGCGTGTCGACGCGTATATTACGAAAAGAAGTAAATAAAATTAAAAACGATACATCTAACAATCTAAACTATAATTATAGCAATAGATGGCGCCACAAAACCTTTTTAATTGCAATAGTTAAATGCTTTCAGTTGATTTATTTTGTACTAGCGTTCCCCCGCCACTTCGTATGAGAGGAATTAAAAAAACAAAAGTGAGTAGCCTGTGTGTTCTTCCAGACTATCCTCTACATCTATACCAAATATCATCGAAATCGGTTCAGCCGTTTAGGCTACAAACTCTAACAAACATCCATCCATCCATCTAAACTTTCGCATTTATAATATTAGTAAAATAATAAAGTAATAATTAATAGTAACTATGTTATAACTCACCCGCAAGAAAAGCCACGTCGTCCAAATCCTGATCAACCATGTTTCGCCAAGCGGCGGCTGGAAATAAAAATATACATTTAAAAAATTAATAAAACAAATTGACAAGAGTGCATTTTCCAGCAACTACTTAATGTATACTAAGTTAATTTAATTTTGACTAAGTAAGAGCCCAGCTAAGTTACCATTAGTATTTCTGATTTAATAAATTTAAGAAATGCGTTTCCAAACTTCGTAACTTGCGTTTTACTCAATAGAAACATAGCTCGAACTAATGAATAGGAACAGGCGAGTTCCACAGAGATTCCGGAATCCTCTTCTACTAGAGGCTGCCCATCGAGGAGGTTTTAGTGGGTTCCCAACATAATCCTATCTTCTTCCAGAAGAAAGGTTACTTTTAAAGATTGACTTCATAGTATCACAAAAAAAAATAAAAAAAAGAATTGACAACATGGAAGAAACTCAATATAGTGTGTCTAAATAATTTAGATTAGTTTGACAATTCGCTTCAAATTTAGTAGGGATAGGTTGTGTAAAATCAGTCATGTATCTTATCGATATTCGATTTTTATTCTCGTAGAAGTTGGAATCGATAGATTTATAACTTATGAATTAAAAAAAAAACTGTTTTCACAAATTAATAATGACCATAACAAATAAAAAGAGTAAATAAATGTTTATTAGTACTACAGCCGTACGTAATCGAATTGGATTTCGCTATTATTTTTGTCATCGCTAAATTCTCTACACTATAATTAATACTAGAATTGTCCTATAAATTAGTTAATAAGAAAATGATAATTTTAGTTGAGTTCGATAATTATCTAAACCGAATATCGATAGTTCAAAATTGTTCGCTGCGTGTTTCGTCACTACGATACCTGTCTATTAAGTATGGCATTTACTTTCATACAAATTGAATTCGATGCTTCATATAAGTCATTAATCAAACTAATCTATTTTATTTAGACGAACTATAGTGATTTATAATTTACCTTTCGCCGAGCCGTTTCTATCGGCTTTGTATTTGCCGATGGGCTCCATCTGAATGCCGTCCATTTCACGTCAGCCACGGCATCACGAGAACTAACTGCGTACAAATACGTCAACATAAGAAATAAATATAAACATATAAATTTAAATGCGTATAGATAAAATAACGTATTTTTATAATCATTTGCCTCCATTATAACAAAAGACAAAAGTTTTTACTACATTCAGCCACGCGACACACAGTTCAGAAACAAATAAACATAAAAATTATTAAAAATTTAAAAACATAAGGTAGTTAGTTATAAAATTAAGAAACATTTTAAAACGGTTTTTAACCAAAATATTGTTACATAAATGTTTTGTTATAAAATGAATATTAAACAACTATATTTTTAAAACGTTTTTCCTTCTTTTTGAAAAAGGCACAAGCTATTGTTACATTCAGCCACTCGTTCACAAACACGTGCCCCTCTAAAGGGTGTTGGTATGCACGCTTCATTTAATCCCTTTGTAAGTTTGCATTTTACCACTGAAACGCACATTGGGTCGAGAAAAAAAACCGTAAAATATAGAAAACTTTAATTTAAATTCCACGTGTTTTAAAAAAAAATTAAGTACAGTATAAACCGACTAATAAAGAAAGATTTTCGCGCGTAAGTTTGTTTGTATGTAAATTCCATTGTAAAAGTCCACAGTTTAAAATACTGGACATATTTAGATGAATGAGGTGTCATTAGATTCGTCTTCTGCGGAGTGTCATAGGGGATATTATATTGACCCAATATACATACAGTGGACGTAAATATCAAAATTCAAGTATTTTCTTATATTTTTAATCTGTCAAGTATTTTGTTTTTAATTTGAGGTTATTTGTGTAGCCAAGTCACAAAACTTCTCTGTACAAAGTAACGTTTTAGATAATGCAAATGCATCCCCTCTTATAAATCTACAATAATCGAGTTTTGCACCCTTGTCTTTGAGGGTAAGGGTGCATTGCATCCCCTGCAACCCTCTGTAGGGTAAGAATTAGCATAATGCAACTACGATTTACAACACGATGAAAAAAACAGATTATAGCCAACCGCCACCTAGCTCTGTCCCCACGTGAGAATAAAAAGTTTGATCCGTCCCGCCTTTTAGTCCCACTATCACCTATAAGGTGACAGATGGAACCGTTATAAAACAAAATAATTTCCAACCGTCCCCTCGTCACGAATGTAACTTTTTTTCTCATCTGTTCCCACGTGGGGTCAGAGCGGGGTGACGGTTTGAAATAATCCAAAAAAACAGTGCACTTACTAAATGTGTTGTGTTGTTATGGAGTCATTTCTTTAAGATTTCAGGCAGTTTGAAAAAAACTGTCAATCTGGTAGGTACAGGCAACACTTTAAGAGCGGGCGCACAACTTTGACTAAATTAAATTAACAACCAACTAAATTATCGCACAACCGTTGTGCGACAATTTAGTCGGTTAGCAGCCAATTCAACTGTTTAGTTGCACAATTAAAATCGAGTAGTGGACCTCTATATAAACTCATAGAAATCCAAGCGAGACTAAACAGTCACACTAGTTTAGTCAAAATGTGCGTTACATTTCAACTGACAGTTAAAATACACGCTCGCCGTTTTAACTCAATAATCTATTCAGTTATAACTGTAACTTAGAATTAAGCGTGTATTTTGCTCAATTTTTTTTTCAGGTATCAAATTATGAAAATTACGAGAAGCAAAAGGTTAGCGTGGTTAACATGTTATGCGACGACAATGGGGACATAAACCAGAAATTGTTAAGATTGAATGATGGCTACAAAGGTAGAGGAAGACCGACGAAAGTATGGATTGTGTGAAAGAGGATATGCTTAAGGGAATGGATTCAGATATGGCTGATAGAGATGGGTGGAAGAGCACATACTGTGCCGACCCTCTGTTGGGATAAGGGCAAGTTGATGATGATCGAATTATGAAAATAATAATTAATATAAAGATTTTCAAAGCAACTAAATCGTATACCAGGAGATGATAAACTCTAGGAAATAAGAATGAAAATTCGAAGCGATCCAATCAATCTCGGCAAGCAAATCGGATATTGCCAATCTTACGACCAATGGAATAGTCCCAGAATACCTGAGATGTACAAATTGTATACCTATGTTTTTGTTTACAAAATCTACCATAAGATCGCACGCACCTTTGACCAAACTATCCCACAACTGTGCGATTGTCGATTATTTTGCAGCATTCAACTGTTTTTTTATAACATAAAGTGGCAAACGAGCAAGCAGCCACCTAAATCCGCTAAAATGGCGAAGCAACCGCTGCCAATAGTAATCCGCGATCGCAGATGCGTTGCCTACTAACCGACGGAGGAGGAAATGCACATAAAGAGGATATTTCGCCTTCTTACACATCTCCTCCACCGTCAAATCCACTTCCCCTTCCCATCCTCTCCTTATAAGAAAAGGGTGGTTAAGAGAAAGGGACTTAAATTAGGCCTCCGGCACCACACTCATCAGACGAAACACGGAATTGCTTCCATTACACGGCTGTCTTCTGTGTGGTCGTGGTATTACACCGGGCGTGCCCTGCAGTGCTAAGATGTTAAAGCGGGCACTACCACTGTTGCATCCAACTATGAGTGAGAGCGAGAGAATATAAGAGCTTAAGAGCACACTGTATGCACAATATAAGCTCTTAGTAAACTAAGCAAGACTAAACAGTTCTGAGATAGTTTAGTCAATTGTGCGCATTGTCTTGTCATAGCCGTCGTAGTTCTTTCACATTTTTCATGGAAACCATTTCGCTAAAAGCCCACGGTTACTACGCGATAGTTTTGTGTGACCTCAAAAGAACAAAGAAAGGAATAGAAACAGACAAAGGAAATGTGCACCATTTTCTTGTGTACATGAAAACTTTAAAAAAGACACCTATGAGTATAAGGTTCTCATTAAAAATGCGAAATTATTATAAATGCGAAAGTTTAGAAACAAAGAGTTAAAAAGAAAGAGACCATAAGTTGCTGCCAACATTAAGAAAGGGATTGCCAAGATTTGTCATGTAATGTCATTTTGACATCTATACTATTATAATAAAGCGTAAACACACACTTCTTTGTTGCCTAAGATGTCAGTAATTACAGCATATTTTTGATTAATTATTTTTTTAATAAAAAGCCCTACACTTACGTCACGCTTCAGACTATATATTTTCACGCCATTAAACTTAGGGGGTAAATATGCATAAAAACCCTAATGTGGGAAAGAGACCATAAGTTGTTGCCAACATTAAGAAAGCAAGATTGCTAAGATTTGTCATGTCATGTCATTTTGACATTTGCTAGTAATAATTTGACAAAAGTCAGTAATAAAATAAAATTTTCATAATTGCACGAGGACGGAGTCGCGGGCCAAAGCTAGTTCTAGATGTTTGTCAGAGATGTAAAACATAGCCTGGAAGGACACAAACTATTTTTTTTAACGGCTAGTCTGAATCTAAAGGAATATTGTAAAGAGGAAACATTAGTATTTTTTGTATGTATTGAAATAACTCAAAAACCGATGTTCCGATTTCAAAAATTCTTTTACCATTGAAAAGCTGTTAGTCAGATACATTGGCTTTTTTATTATTATTTTTAATTTCACGCAGACGAAGTCTCGAGCAACAGATATCAAACATTTCATTAATTTCGTGCGTCGTAATATATTGAACAATAATGAAATCAGTTAAAAGAAGAGATATATTTTAAAAATTCAACCAAAAAAATGGGACCCACCTGCAAGCATTACCTTTCGGATAAAAAAAGAATTATCAAAATCGGTCCACTAGCGGCGGAGTTATGCCGTAACACACATAAAAAAATAAAAAAAAAGGCATACAGACGAATTGAGTACCTCCTTCTTTTGGGAAGTCGGTCAAAAAATTATTATCATCAAATAGGTAAGTACTAACATAACAATAAAAAGTTTCGTTGATTGAAGTTCATTTCCAGTTTTCTACCCATTCTTTTCTAATAAAAATAGGAAGGGGAAATATTGGCAGGGTATAGATGGATAGTATATACGGCCATGATACACGGAAAGGTCAAAATTTAAAAATAAACTCTCAAACCAATTTCCATGAACATAAATCCGTAAAAGAAATTATAACCCAACTAATTTTTAATGTCAATGCTCATTTAATCGTAACTACTTATGTTATGACCTTTTAATACGGCACATAAACACACAATTGTAATCACTCACCTGAAAACTGCAAAACACGAGTACCTTTTCTCGTTCAACGGAAATTCCACACAGATTTATAATAAACAATTAAAAATGATAAATTGAATAGCTTTAAAACATTTGGTATATTAAATTTCATTAATAAAACACATACTTTTATACGTAAACGAAAATTCCGTCCATCTTTCGCAGAAACTTGTGAAAATGTGTCGGGAATCGATTTTGCGAGGGAAAGAGTACATCAGCATTGGGCATCTAGAAAGAGATGGTTATATTACGAGTTGAGTATGAGTGAAAGAGATGAAATATCGTGTTTATGTCGGTGTGAGGGAGAGGGTTGTGTTTTGTTTGTAAGTGTGTTGAACTCGCTAAAATAAGGGCTGTTTTCATCCACTACTGTTTGTTCTCGAATTTAAGTTCTACGTCGTAGGCCAGCTACGATACGTAACGACATCATTTACACTAAGTTATAACAATCTTTTGGAGTTTAATCCATCTATCTTCTATACATGTAATAAAATTGGAGTGTTTGTTTGTAATATGAAAAGATGTAAGAAATTTGTAAGATGAAAAATATGAAAATATTTGCGTAAAATTTTGTCTGTCTGTCTGTCCGCAAGCCGCGTTTGTTTTATAATCTCCGACTGGGACAATTTTGACCTGACTTTTACTGCAGGTAGCTGATATAGACGGGCATATTATTGGCTACTCTTTTTATCTTAATATTGCGTGGACGAAGTCGCGGGTAACAGCTAGTAGTTATAAATACAAATAATTAACGTATGAGGTTGACAATAGACAAAAACATTAACATTCAAAAATAATTTAGTAGAGTATTTAATTGCGTACTTTTGTTTTCGATAAATTAAAAATCGAATTTTGCAGATTAAAAATTAACAATAGTAAAGAATTTTCGTGTCATCTTTCACCATTAGTAAGAGTAAAACTACATTTTCGTAAGCATCTACAAGATCCCGCAGGATAACTGGAGCAGTGGGGAATTATGAAGGGTCCGTGACAATATGTTGAGTTGTGTATGACGTGCTACCTCTTTTGTTGACATGTTTGTTTTATTTTCAAGGTTTCAGGGACACTGAGTACTGGCTGAAATGTTTTTGCTACATTTTTAGTGGCCAGTGTTTTGTGACAAAAAGTGAACATATTCTTGATGTTAATTTAACTGTTTTTATATTATGCCTTCAGGGGATTATTTAAATATATTTAGTTTTTAAATATTTGTCAGAATTAACGAAGGCTTACACTTTAAGCGACATTTTAAACGCAAACTGCCCAGTTCAGTTTATAAAACGGCATATAAAAATATATTCACTTAAAGTAGTTTCTATAAATGTAATAAAGATCTAAAATATCTTAGATCAGCTACTGACGACTGGCTAATAAAAACTACCATTATTACTAACAATTAATAACGCCCATAGCAAATTCGGCGCCATCGTATAAAATAAAAATATAATTAAAGTGAAGTAACTACTGGTAACGCCTTGTCCCAAGACCGCAAATTACCTTAACTTACGAGCAGTTTGGCAACTTTTCGGCTCTGCATCGTAGCTATAATGCAACAGGAGAAACTAAAAATGTTTTTGAAAAACACATGAACACCATTTTGGACTAACGTCTAAAAGTAAATCGTTAAGTAATTGATTAATAAGGTCTTAAAAAAAATGTTAACATTTGGTAGAAAGTGCAAAAAAATGGTAACATTACACAACAATTTCTTATCTGTGCGTGGTATGGTATCCCTACAAATAAAAACGTCAATTGAATTTGCGTTTTGACGACTTTGGTTTCGCGATTTAGATCAATTCTTAAATAATTACAAAATGTTCGCTATCCGCAGCCTCGTTAAGAATAACGCCCAGGTTTTGAAGAATGTTGCTCAACAGAGGAACATGAGCGTTGTCTCTATTCCGGCCAGGACCAAAGTCACCAAAGGCGTAAGTATTGATTATCGTTTTAACGTATTTTGATCAATAATACTGCAATGGGCCTCCAATTATACATTCCATAATACTAAATCTCAAGTTTTTTTAGCAATAACTGTATATTAAAACATTTATTATCAAATTCGGGACGTTTTAAATGTATTTTTTGAATTACGTAATTTTTCAGTGAAGAGGTTATGTTTGACAATTTTTTTTATCTCAAACCTTTACATTCTCCCTTGCATTGAGTGACTAAACAATATTATTTGTCCTACTCTACTAGTATTTATAACTATTTTAGGCTTAATATAAAATTGTTTAATTTAATTTTCTAGATATCTTGTTAATCGATAGATTTTGTAGTTTATCTTATATTTATTAACTATTAAAAGTTTTGCAACACTAATGTCTATTAAACAATTTGCAGCAATGCACTATCCAAGGCATGGCCAGACACTCTTTCCTTCAAGCACTTTAGGGCACTTTTGACACCCCTATATCTTTGTTTTGGATAAAGATTGAAAATTCTGATCATTAGATAAACCATAATCCATTATATTGCTAAAATATCTTTCAATTATACCCTGATAATGGAAATATTATTGCTAGTTGAATTCCTTACTATTTTACACAAATACATGTATGATTATATTTTTTCATACATATATCTTTAACCCTTATTTTTTATATAATATGTTTTGTATATAATTATACAGAAATAAAATAAAACATATAAAAATTAGAGCACCACCGGCTGCAGTATCCAATGACTCAAGCAACCAGTAGTCAGGCAAAGACCTTACAATGTGTGCGGATTCTAAAATACCTGTCTTCATTTTTTAATTTTCATTTTAATCATCAGCCTGTCTATAGATTTCGGTTAAAATTAAAAATCTTGAAATTCGGTAATTTAAAAAATGTCAAGATTTCATAGAAATATGTCAAAATCCTTGTAATTTGTTATAAGGATAAAATCTATTGTTATACAGAGATCTTGATTTTTTTACATAAATAATCTAATATCACTAAGTCATATTATAAACTAACTTTTTCCTGTGACTCCGTACACATGGAATTATCAAAAAAAAAGCAAAAGCAGGAGGCCTATGTGCTTGTCCAGACTATGCTCTTCATTTATGCTAAAAATCATTGATTATTCCCAACAGTCACCCCGCTCTGTCCCCACATTGAGACAGATGAGAATGAAAAGTTACATCCCTTCCACTTTTTGCAGCGAGGGGACAGTTGTAACTTATTTTATTTCATAACGGTTCCATCTGTCACCTTATTGGTGATAGTAGGCCTGAAAGGTGGAATGGACGAAACTTTTTACTCTTCCATGGGAAAAAAGCAGGGTGATGGTTGGGAATAATCCAAAATCATCCAGATTCATTCAGCTTTTTAGGCTACAAACTATCAGACATCCATACATCTAATTCACAAATGTTAGTATGATTAGTAATATGGGTTAATATGTATTTAAGTATGAGAGCGTCGGTGGCTCAGTGGTTAAGGCACATGACTTTGGTTCGACACAGGTCTTGGGTTCGAATCCCGCTGTACCTGCGATTTTCGATTTTTCGAATTTTCATATGTACATAATTTACCCGACGTTCTTACGGTAAAGGAAAACATCGTGATGCCTGCACATATCGGCGAAGAAATTCAAAGATATGTGTGAAGTCAACCAACCCGCTCTGGGCCAGCGTGGTTGACTATGGCCTAGTCACCCTAACTAGGGTAGGCTCCGAGCCCCTCGGTGGGGACGTAGAGTGAGCTAGTAATGATGATGATGATGTATGTATATCTTTTCTTTCAGGAAATGATCTTCCTCTCTGGTGTGATGTTGGTCAGCTGGTGTGCTATCCCAGCTTGGGTGCTTGTAAACCTCAAGCACTACCGCGGCGAATGAATTGTTTATTGAAGTCATAGACAACTGTATAGATTAATGTTTTATGTTCTAAGTAAATATTTGAAGTATTTGTTTTGTTTCATTTAAAACTATTGTTACCCGACTTTGTTTGTGCTTTGACACACCTTAATGTTTATAAAAAAGCCTCCATATATTTGAAATAATGTTACATAAAATCTAGGTAACTAGATGTTGCTGGCAATCGCTAGTTCTGTTATGATATAGTTTTTTAATGGTGCAAAATATTTTGTAATTGGTCCAGTAGTTTTTGAGTTATTACAAAAATCCTAAAATACTAATTTTTCTTCTCTATTAGTGTAGGTAATTTACAGGTTTTTATTAAAAGCACATTATTGCTAGATAATATAGCATTGTATTGACAACTATCTAGAATTTGTAGAAAAAATAATGCTGTGTTACCAACACACAAAAACTAAAGTCTCACGTATTTTATTCTAAACTAGTTCAGTAGATTTTTTAAAATCTGTTCGTCGCACTGAACACCATCGAATTAAGGGTTTACTATCAAAATTGCATAATTTTTCTCCGTTTTATGTCTAAACTGAAAGGTACGGGAATGTTTGCATTTTCTCTCCTGAATAATTAATAAAATGTGTTACTTTAATCAAATATTCTGACTTGCAATACAACATCATGTAACATCTTAGTGATTGAGTTAGTGGTTTAATATAATCAAAATGGAACAAAAGTTAATTTCCACTTATAATTAGGTTTGGATTTCAGAAATAAAAGATTATATGTTATTAAAAGATGTTTATTAAAAATGATCCTTAAATAAATATAGATTTACAATTGAAAACATGATATTTTTGTTATTTACACATTTAACCATAGACTAAAAATTCCGATAAGTGTCAAAGGTGTTGCAGAAAACAAGATGGCGGAGCTTCGTTGTATCGGCGCGCATTCTTTTTCAAGAAATTCGTAATCTTCTGTCAGGCCACGTTCTAATAAAATGGGCCCTAAAGTCCTTAGAACTCTAGCGTGATAATCGTTTATGTATTTAATCTGTAAGAAATTTAACATTTTAGTTATTTACAAAAAAAAAAATAGAATAGAAATACGAGATTTGTGGTCATTGAATTATTTTCTTTAAATGGTCTTACATATGCGTAATTAATTACGAAATATTGTTTTATTTTTTTTAATTATCTCACAATTTTTCTTTCTAATTTTAAAAACAGCATCAAAGATTTTTTTTTGTTTTTTTTTTAGGTCACAAACCTGTGATGACATCCTTCCTGACAACATTTTATCACACTAAATAAGTATACAACATATTTAAAAACTCTCATATATATTTAAATATACTTTTTACCTCATTATCATCCAATATGCTGACATCTAAACACGCAGTTTGGTGCGGAGCGAGAGATATCGTATAGAAACCCACTGCGCCTGCGCCACTGAAGTTACCCACCATACCCTTTGCCTAAATGATAAAAAAAAAATTAAACCGTTCAATAACATCTTGAGTTGCTTTATATTAAGAAAATCATACATTTGTTTAATTATATTTAATTTAATCCAACGGCTAAAAGTATCCGTCAATATTTAAAAAAAATAAAACTTGTCTATGGTAGAAATATTTCAATTTTAATTCTAAAAATATAAACTTTAGATTATTTTTATAGTTAAAATACTTACAAATATATGATCAGCGTCTTTATTTATTTCAATAACTTCGACTAGATCTTCGTGTCTAATGCCATATTCTCCCACTTCGTAATACCCGGGTTCTGTTGACAGAAGGAACAAATTAAATTACATTTTCAAACTTACAAAAAAACATAAAAATTGTATTAACGGCAGTAAAAGTAATGTAAAACATTAAAATTTTATTGGGTAAATACTTGAGAATTATTTATGAAAAAATATTTTACACCGATGTCACTTTTTGTAGAGCCCGCCAAAAATCTTACGAATTTTTTTTAAAGCACTGCTGTCAAGCAATTTTTAAAATGCTGGCAGATGCAGCATTTTAAAAATTAACTATCACGATTTAAAAAAAGAACGAATATTTAAAGAAAAGTCCACTAACGCCATCTGTACTGTGTTTATATTTTCGTGCCAAAATTTTGATTTATTTTAAAGAGATTCAAACATAAACAGGGGCATAGTTAACACTTTACATGAAACAATTTTATAACTTCAGCTATTCATTAATAGAATTAAATATTATTTAAATGTTTAGATTTTAATTTCAACTACTGTTTATTTTACAACAATAGATGGCGCTTATTATAGTTTTCTTAAATGTTATTACATGTCACAACATGAGATGGCACTAAACTTGACAACTGATATAGTACCTTTAAAAGAAGTTACCGGTGAAAAAGAAACTATATATTATACTATGACGCGTGAAATTAAAAATATAGTTATGTTACTGATAACATATCTTTTTTTCTTATAACATTAGGTGGCAAACGAGCAAGCGGCCTGTATCCGAATTGTAAAGCGTCCGCTGCACATAAACATCCGCAATTGCAGATGCGCTGCCTACCCTTAATTGACGGAGGAGACGCACATAAAGAAAAGAGGACATTTCCCCTTCCTATGCGTCTCCTTCAACGTCAAATCTACTTTCCCTTCCCATACATTCCTGTTAAAAAAGGGTGGAAAGGGAAAGGGACTTAAATTAGCTTTTTAATAGTGCAAGAATTTGAAATCGGCGCAATTTTTGAGTTATTTCAACATACAAAAATACAAATCTTTATAGTATTAGTATAGAAGAAACCTACCATCACTGAAGATCATCCCCGGGACTATCCCAGGGTCTGAAGCCATCAGCGCAGCTCCGATACCTGAAGGACCTTCGTGTACATTGAGGAAGTGGCCCACACCGTGACCAGTTCCATGTGCATAGTTCAACCCTACATCCCATAGTGCTTTACGAGCTAATGTTTCTAGTAAATTACCCTATTGAAAGAAAATATTTTTTTTTGTTGAAATATGCTGTTGCTAGTGACTTCGTCCGCGTGGTAAATATAGCCTATGTTGTCAACGTAGCTTTTTAATGGTGAAAGAATTTTTTAAATTGGTCCAGTAGTTTTTGAGTTATATTAATATGTACAAAAATACAATTTCCACTTTATAATATTAGTGTTGTTGTAGTTATAGCTAAAAAAATTTAGCCTATGTTACTAATAATGTAGCTTTTAATGGTGAAAGAATTTTTTAAATTGGCCCAGTAGTTTTTGAGTTATATTAATATGTACAAAAATACAATTTCCACTTTATAATATTAGTGTTGTTGTAGTTATAGCAAAAAAAATTTAGCCTATGTTACTGATAATGTAGCTTTTAATGGTGAAAGAATTTTTTAAATTGGCCCAGTAGTTTTTGAGTTATATTAATATGTACAAAAATACAATTTCCACATTATAATATTAGTGTTGTTGTAGTTATAGCTAAAAAAATTTAGCCTATGTTACTGATAATGTAGCTTTTAATGGTGAAAGAATATTAAAATTATTAAAAGTAGTTTTTGAGTTATTTTAATACATAACATCTTTTCTGTTCATAATATTAGTACATATATATGTAGATAATGGAGACAGATCTGTAGAAACTTGAAAATTGTAAAATCTTCCTAATATTATAAATGTAAGAATTTTAGATGTATTTGTTAGTGTTTGTAGTCTATACTGAACGGATCTCGAGAAAAGTCATACATAGATTATAGTCTAGAAGAACACAGACTACTCAATCTTTTATCCACTCAAACGAAGTCACAGGAGAAAGCTAATAAATACATAATTAAGTTACTAAACAATGCATATACCTGTGAAGATAACTAAAACTTGTCAATTTTACTTTAAACCATTCTCTTTGATTTAAAAAAAAAATGTTTTTACTAAAAAGGCTAAAGGGGGATCATTACCCCAACAAGAAAACCAATACAAAAAGGATACTCCCTTACCGTAGATCCCTTCGGGAACACAGCGGTTCCTAAGAGAATTTGACCTTTCAGTACTCGTGTGAAGGTCAACCGCTGCTCAGGAGTGGGAGACGAGCTCATGTGACGTGTCCGAGTTATATCCGTAGTCCCATCCCTGTAAACATAATAATATAAATGCGATAATTTGTATGGATGTTTGTTACTATTAGTACCAAACTGCTTACTCATTATTTTATTGCGCGAAAAACAAGGGCAAAAGCTAGTTAAATTAGTAATTTCCCGCCTTTTCTAGTATTTTGTAAAAAATTAAACGAATATCAATTTATTTTATGTAGACAGTAAATTAATAAAAATCTACTTTAGTTAATTATTTTTTATTAAAAAATATAAAACCAGTATCGACTATTTTATATGTATATGTAAATGTCCCTTCTCATCCTTTCCTTATAAAAAAGAGTGAAAGGTGGACTAAAAGTGGTGATTTAAAACGGCCTTTGACACGCGTGAAACGAAACGCGGGTTCCATTCGACATCTGTCTTTAAACAATTCTGTAACTGACATATGATGATGATGACTTACATATACTGTGCTCCAGAGTCCACGAGGAGTATATCATCAGATCTAACGACTCTCTGTTCACCCTCTCTAGACGGCTTGTAATGTATAATAGCCCCATTCTCCCCAGCACCCGCTATCGTTGCGAATGATGGACCCATGAAGTACCTTTCTTCACTAAATATACAATAAAGATGTAGGTTATCTTACTAATATTATAAATGCGAAAGTTTAGATGTTTGTTCGATAGTTTGTATCCTAAACTGCTGAACGAATCTTGATGATTGCCTAATGTAGAGAGTAGTCTGGGCGAAGACATAGGCTACTTAGTTTTTTTTATACCACCTGGACGGAGTCGCGGGCGATAGCTAGTCTATACTAATATAAAGAGGAAAGATTTGTATTTTTGTATGTATTGAAATAATTCAAAATCTACTGGACCGATTTCCTTTCTTTCATCATTAAAAAGCTAGATTTTCACAGAGTAACATAGGCTATATTTTATTCCACGCGGACGGAGTCGCCGGCGAAAGCTAGTCTTATTAATATTATAAATATTGCGTTTGTAAGAGTTTGTAGCCTAAACTGCTAAAAGGATCGCGATGAAATTTGGCGTAGACGTAGAGAATAGTCTGGAAAAATACATTGGCTACTGTATTTTGTTTTTTTTTTTAAATAGATGCAGACGGAGTCGCAGACGAAAGCTAGTAAGTTAATAAGTTTAGAAATACATACTTTCGTAACGCTTCCAGTTTGTCAGAGATATTTATCTCAGTGACATTGTCACCGGATGACACACTCTCGTGCACCCAGCGTAGGAACCGTACCACCGCGATACCATCCTTGATATGTGCTGAGCGGAAACCCTGGGAAATGAAACAGAATAATTAGTTATATCAAAGGGATTAAAAAAATATGTAGAGGAAGCATAATTGACACTTGAGACATTTTTCACATCTCACTAACGCCATCTATTGATTAGGTCCTCATGTAAATGTAATTGTATTTAAATTAATTGCCAATAGATGTCACTAAATTAAATTTGAAAGTACATTTGGACATTATTTAGTTTATTTCATAACAAAATATGGAGCTTATTATAATTTAGTAAAATGTTTTATTACATGTCAATACACTTAACTTGACAACTGACTTAGTACCTTCCAAAGAAGTTACCGGTGAAAATATTTATTCACTGTCTAGTCAACAATTTCTTAAATGTATTTGATTCATATAAGAAAATATACAATTACTTATAACAGAAAATATAAACTACAAAACAAGCGAAACAATATTTTTAAAAGGACATTTCATCAATAGAAGCCAGTACAGTTGGAAAGTACCAACTGGCATAGTGGTAACGGACGCCAGTGAGTCCGTACTAATTATGACTGGCCTTCGTCACTCTCCAACTGTACTGGCCATGGATTGGCATAATTTACCTGCAATTCCACTTCATTTTTAACACATTTCATAAGAGCTACCGGTGATACGGTCGATAATGTACTCATAGCGCCATCCTGTGACAAAAAGTAATACTAAAATTTAGACAATTAAAGAAATCAATAAAATAACGATTTCCTATGTCAAAAATCTATACTAAAATATTGAAATGCATTTGGAATATACATTGATTTAATTTTACAAAATTACATTTGCAGGTTAAATTTATACAAGTCTAGCTTTAGCCCGGGACTCCGTCCGCGTGAATTAATGTACCCTATGCATTCCAGACTATCTACATGTTTGACAATCATTATTAGTTCAGCAGTAACAAATCAACATACATCTAAACTTTCGCATTTATAATATTTGTAAAATATTGTTATTACCGCTTCTGCAGCTAAATGTATCGCGTGGCTGCCATCTTGTGACAACCATATTGTACTGCCCCTGGGTAACTCGCTCTGAAAATTATATTTACATTAATATTTATTTATAGTAATTAACGAAATTATCAAAATAAATTATTTTAGACGCATAAAATTTTATTTTTGTATATTCCTTGCGACTTCGTCTACGTGGGATTATAAAATGTAGCCTATGTTACTGATAACATAGCTTTTAATGGCGCAAGAATTTATAAAATCGGTCCAGTAGTTGAATTATTTCAATATATACAAAAATACAAATCTATCCTCTTTTAATGTTAAAATTGTTGGGAAATAATTATGTTTACCGTCATATTTTTTATATATTCAAATATATCTTGATAAGGTATTGTTGATATTTGAGTTCCTTCTGACGCCAAATGTTCAGTTATATTCGCAGCAAGAAATCCATCTCCCCAAGACAGAACTACATTATTTGGGGCACTCTGAAAAAAAGGAGAATTGCATAAATTAATTAACAAGATAGATAAATTTATAGCCAAAAATAAAATATCAGATTTATTGATAACAGCGCCATCTAGCGATAAATAAGATTTACTTCCTAATGTATTCTATTTTACAGATAAATTAACCTTTCTAACGGTGAAAGAATTTAAAAAATCAGTCCAGTAATTTTTGAGCCTATTCAAAACAATCAATCAAAGTTTTCCCCTTATAATATTAAGTGTAGACAACGCCATCTAGTGTTAAAAACTTAACTATTTTTAAATCAAATTAAAACTTTTCATATAATTGAATAGGTTTAAATACTTACTAGATTAGGTCGTAGCACCAAATATGAGAAGAATACAGGATTATAAGGTATATCAGAGCCACGGATGTTTAGAGTATCTGTCAAAAACAACAAAAATAATCTAAACGAAGTCAATAAAGAGAATTCTTTTCTTTATTGAAGCAGACATTTAAATAATGTATAGATGTAACGTAGGGAACTAAATTTTTACACCGGTACTTTCTTCGAAAGGTACTACAATAGACCCTCGATAAGTTAAAGTCCAAGGGAAACACAAAATATTTTAAGTTATAGAGGTTTAAGTTATCAAGGGTCTATGTTATAGAGATTTTGGACCCTGATGGGAAGGGAACATATTATTTTTTAAAGTTATAGAGGCTTTCATGTTACCGAGGTTTGAGTTATCGTTACTGTATATCAGTTGTCAAATTTACTGCAGTCTCGTGTTGTATTGACATGTAAAACGTTACCAAATTAAAATAAGCTCCATCTATTGTTATAAAATAAACTAAACAGTGTGATAAAATCACAAAATAAAACATGCATTTAAATTTCAATTAATGACATCTATTGGCAATTATTCTAAATAAAATTAATTATATTGACATATGGTTTTAAGGATCTATCAATAGATGGCGTTAGTGAGATATTAAAAATGTCAAGTGCAAACTATGCTTCTTCTACATATTTTTTGAATCTCTTTGTTATAAAAGCTAAGAATCTATAGAAAGAGGTTATTTATATGGACTTACAAGCGATATCATCTAGTGCTGTGAGCACCAGCGCCGCGGCGCCGCGCGACCTTATCAGTTGCATCAACTCTGATATTTTCTCTGATGAACGCCTGCCTAGAAATAAACATCTATGCTAATAACTATTTATTTAAAAAATGTAATACACATAGCCTATGTTACTCAGTTATAATGTAGCTTTAATAGTAAAGGAATTGTAGAAATCGGAGCAGTAGTTTTTGTGTTATTTCAATACTTATAACTAACAATTCAAAATACTGAGGTAGTTATTCAATATTGTACCTCAGGTATACCTGAGTGAATTATTTGAAATTGAATCTCAAACATTTAACTATTTAAGTGCTGCTTACGTCAAAAGTAAGGAATTTAAAGTTTGAGCGTGACCTTATCATTTAAGAGCGTGCGCACACGTTTGACTAAACTGTCTTACAACTGTCTAGTCTCGCTTTGATTCCTATGAACTTATATGGAGGTACACTACTCGATTGTTAGTTGTGCAACTAAACAGTTGAGGCTGCAAAACAAGCGACAATCGCACAACTGTTGTGCGATAGTTTAGTCAAATGAGCACGGTATTAAATATCATTTCAGTTAGTGTGTATTAGCAGTAATTAAAATTATTTACCTGTAAAAGTGATTGGCAGAGGTAATAACGCGTTGTTAGGTCTAAGAGGCGCAGGGTCTAGAATGTTAGCGCGCGCGATATCCACCAAGTTCTGTGAGATTGGTCGCAGGATTACATTCACTTGGTTGAGAGCGGTCTGCAAATAATAGATGGCGTTAATATCAATTTTCATATGACATAAAGCAAGATATACACAAAAACAGTTACTAACAATCTTACTAATATTATAAATGTTTAGATGGATGTTTGTCATTTTGTAGCCTAAAGACTCTAGAGTATAGTCTGGAAGAAAAATGGGAGACTGATTTTTTTCTACGCATACGTAGTCGCGGGCGCAAGCTAGTGTGTTCATCCATGCCAGTAAAGTGTTAACAAAATCGTATGAAACAAGCAAAGATTAAAATAACATATAGAGATGACATAATAAACAAAATTTTATTTACCGGTATTTTTATATGTAATAAAACATTTTACAATATTATAAACTGCATGTTTTGTTATATAAAAAAAAAATAAAAACAAAATATAAACATTTAAATTTAATAACATCTTTTTTCAATTAACTTAAACACACAACAGACATGTTTTGAGGATCAATCAATAGATGGCGTTAAAATATATGTAAAATTGTTTCAAGTGAAGTGGCAACAATGTTTTTTCTATATAAAAAAATATTTTACCTCTAATACTCTCCAGGAAGTTCTCGTATATGTAGTAGGGTCTATACCGACTACGGAACCTGCTCGCATATTAGCTACCAACCAAGCGGGTATCGCTAAATCAGTACCTGTAAAGAATAAAACAGTCACTTCGCGCTGTTCGTCTGTCTGTATGCTTACATCTTTAAAACTACGCTATATTTTGATGCAGTTTTATAGAATGATTCAAGAAGGTTTATTACATCTTACTAATATTATAAATGCGAAAGTTTATATGGATGTTTGTTACAGTTTGTAGCTTAAATCGTGATGTAATTTGGCATAGACGTAGAAGACAGTCTGGAAGAACACATAGGGTACTAAGTTTTTTTAGATTTCACGCGGACGGAGTCGAGGGCGAAAGCTAGTATAATTATAAATGCGAAAGTTTGTATAGATGTTTATTACTACTTTCTCCAAAAATAATAAGAACACATAGACTACAAGTTTTTTTTTTTTCTTCACAAAGTTCAGGCAAAAGATAGTTACATCTTACTTTGATGATGGATTTTGGTTAAAGTTTGTAGCCTAAACGGTTGAACGGATTTAAATAAAATTTAACACAGACGTAGAGAAGAATCTGAAGAACACATAGGCTACTCACTTTTGTTTTATTATGATTCCACGCGTAGGGAGTCGCGGGAGAAAGCTAGTTTAAAAGTATTTACCTTGTCTCATCAAACTCCATACACTTGTGTCGACTTGCAAATAAAACTGCGTAAAATATCTGCCATCGGTCCAGACTAGAGCGTGTGATGACGTCACAACAGCCGTCCCCGAAGACCCTTCCAGACCTGAGAGCCATTCGCGCCGTGCGTCAGATGGCGCTATATACTGCGACTGAAGACGAAAGTGTATTACATATAGCTGTCTCTTTCAGTATTGAATGATTTTGTATCTTCCGTCTCTTTTTAACAACAAATAGCCAGTAATTTAAGCAGATACGTTTTAGTTTTACAAGCGCCCTGGGCGGTATTTATGATTTTATGAGAGTAATTCGGAGAATTGTTGCGCCAATTTCTTTTTACCCAGGGCGCACGCCCAACGCGCCCTTTTGTAATGGCGGTACTGAAAGTGGGTCTTACAAGAGTAAATATTTAAATATTTATCTAACGCCTATATTACCATTAAAAAAGGTGAATGGTAATTCCAGATTTCGGGAAGATGAATATGCGTTGTTGATAACAAAATGCACATTAAAAAAAAATTCTATCTGTCTGCAAGCCGTGTTTGTTCCGGGTAATCTCCGAAATGGCTGGGTCGAATTCGACCGGACTTTCTCTGAAAGATAGCTGACATAGACGGGCATATTATTTTTTAATGCCTCTCCTTCAAAATGTCGTAACGGGTAGTCCAGCGCTAACGAAGTTTGCGGGAGACTTAACTCACATTATGGGCATCCGCTGTAGGAACTATGTAGGCGTCAACGCCGTGCTGCGTCAAAACTTCTCTTACAGCTGTCAGTCGCTGCTCAGCTGTTTGCCTGCTCATCCTACTTCTAGATTTACTAGCTGTTAACATAATATAATAAATTAAATTAAATTAAAAAAAATTAATACTATTATAAAAAGCGTAAACGCACACTTCTTTGTTGCCTAAGAGATCAGCAATCACAGCATATTTTCGAATAACCCTTTTTTTACTAAAAAGCCCTACACTTACGTCACGTTATTTTCACGCCGGTAAACTTAGGGGTAAATATTTTGGATAACAAAACCTATTGTGGGAAAGAGACCATGTTGTTGCCAACATCAAGGAAGCAAGATTGTCAAGGTTTGTCATGTTATGTCATTTAGACATTTGCTATTGATAATTTGACAAATGTGAACAATAAAATGAAGTTTTAATAATTTTATGCGGATGAAGGCGCTAGGAACAGCTAGTATATAGAATAAATAGGCTACTTACTTTTTTTTATTCTACACGGGCAAAAGCTAAATTGGTAATGAACGATATAATCGTTTAAGGGTTACTCCTTCGTCTATTTAAAAATTCAGTGTACTTACGAAATATCGGAGTATCAGGTTCACCCCAGTCATATTGACTGCTTACCACATATGACGACGTTGGGTGTGATGATATACTGCAAGGTAATAAAATTATATGACCTAATTTTTTTTTTATTTTGTATACTCTGTTACCAGTTCTGAGAATATCTATGCATATAATAAAATAATAAAAATTCCAGATTTCCGGAAGACGATATATTTGCGTTGCTAATAACGAAAATTTGTCTGTCTGTTCGCAAGCCTCGTTTGTTCCAGGAAATCTCCGGCTGGGCTGACGACTTTCACTGGACGGTAGTTGACATGTGCATATTATAGGTTACTTGTTTTATTATAAAGTAGTTTGTGGGTAGAAAATTAAATACCTAATAAAATGTAAACGAGTGTTTTTTTTTTTATACTAATATGTATACTGTAGAAAAATATCTGTGGTTTGAAACTAGTATTATATTTTTAATCTACATTTAAAGCATCTAATTAATTCGTTCCGAAATTATATCTGTAATTAAAAACTTTATAAAAACATAAATATATTTAAAAATAAAAACGAATTTAACTATCTAAATATATAGAAAATATCGCATAAATAAGACAATACAATTAATAAGATTTTTACATTGAAAATTTAATTAAATATAAACAAAAAACATACCAGAAAAAAATATAGAACACCAACACAATCATTTTGAACGCCATTTTGCATTACTTGTGTAAATAATGTTGGATTACATTGATAAATATGTTATCGAAGGATTTTCGATTGATTGCTAGAGATTTGATATTATTTATACCGTGGCGATGTGTTATTGAATAATCAAAATTTTCAATAAACCAATAACCGATTTCAAAAACAAAATATCCGATTATTGGTACGCGTTATTAAAAAAAATCTGCATTAAAATAAAAGAATAGCGTAATACAAAATCCACTTTCCCTTCCTATCCTTACCTTATAACAGAGTGGAAGGGAAAAGCGACTATAATTAGGTATTTAGTGAACAAAAGCACCTTCTTTTTTAAGTTTTTTAGTACTGATGTTCACGTTTTATCCATATTTCTATACTATTATAATAAAGCGCAAACACACACTTCTTTGTTGCCTAAGATGTCAGCAATAACAGCATATTTTTGAATAATTCGCTTTTTAATAAAAAGCCCTACACTTACGTCACGCTTTAGGCTATATATTTTCACGCCATTAAACAAAGGGAGTAAATATTTTGGATAAAAACCCTAATGTGGGAAAGAGACCATAAGTTGCGGCCAACATCAAGGAACCAAGGTTGCCATGCTTTGTTATCATATCATGTCATTTTGACATTTGTACTTAATAACTTGACAAAAGTGAACAATAAAATCAAATATTTATAATTTTATGCGGATGAAGTCGCATGGGAACAGCTATTTTAGTAATAAAACATTTGATTTGTACATTACGGACGTAGGAAGTCTAGTATGCAAACACGACTTAACATAACCTCAACTCTCGTTGTACTAGAGTTCTCCTAATTCTATTCTTTTCTATTAAGGAAGGAATATGAAAAAGTGGATTTAACAGGGAAATGGATTGTTGTTAACGTCAACGTATCTAGAGAATTAGTCTTTGGTCATTCACTATGGTTTTAAAAGTAAAATACGTACAAACTGACAAGCAATTATATATGTATTTACTTGCGAAAATGTATAGAATCATTTAGGAGTACTAAACAATTTATAGATAATGTTAAACGTATAATGACATAATTATCGAACATAAAAGATATGTTTATCGGAATATTTTATCTCCTTATAATATTTGTATCTAACAATACTTAGGTGTTAAGAAATATTACAACACTAGTTCATACTAATTGCGTATTATTTAGAAGAAAGTTAAGAGACTTCATAAAGGAGTTTTTTAATCTGTACTATCTATATACTATATATACTATTATAATAAAGCGTAAACACACACTTTGTTACCTAAGATGTAAGCAATCACAGCATATTTTTGAACAGTTCTTTTTTTAAAAAAGCCCTACACTTACGTTACGCTTTAGGCTATATATTTTCACGCCATTGTACTTAGGGGGAAAATTTTTTGGATAAAATCCTAATGTGGGAAAGAGTTATGGACTTTGCTGCCAACATTAAGGAAGCAAGATTGTCAAGGTTTGTCATGTCATGTCATTTTGATATTTGCTATTGATATTTTGACACATGAAAACAATAAAATAAAATTTTCATAATATGCGGATGAAGTCGCACGGGAACAGCTAGTTTGACTATATTTTTTTAATCTGTATCATTTTAAGTAACTGTTTGTTTGTATTTTATGACGATTATGTTTTCACGTATAAGGCAATATTAGGTACAAAGCAGTTGTAATGGCGTCCTTTAATAATTTACGAGCCTTTTCCAAGAAACGCAACTGCAATTTTAACAATTTTATTATTGTCTACGATCGTTTTTTCTGTCGTTAGTTTGTTCAAAAATATTTAGAGGGTCTTTTTAGGTTAAAATTCTTACTAATATTATAAATGCGAAAGTTTAGATGGATGGATGGATGTTGGTTAGAGTTTGTAGCCCAAACGGCTGAACGGATTTCGATGAAATTTGGTATAGATGTAGTCTGGAAGAACACATAGGCTACTTACTTTTGTTTTTTTAATTCCAGGCGGATAAAATCGCAGGCAAAAGCTTATAATAAATAAAACACATTAAAAGTATTATTCCATTTTATATTTATATTTTATATTTTTTTTAAATTATTAAATAAAAACTTTGTAGACACCAGAAAAATATCCTTGTGGTCCGTTAAACCAAAAATATGGCAAATCTTTGATATCGTCTAAATCCCAATGATATCTTTTAGGCATGAAATGTGGAATTCTGCTTCGCCTTTCGTCTGAAAGAATATGTCGCGTTGGTCCTTGTACGTAAATTATTTTAGAATTAACGTTTTTATTTCTTAAAGGTATCGACATTTCATTTGAAGTATCAGAATCTGTATTCCCTGATGCAACTGATTCGTCAGAATTCTCTACAACTTCGAATCTCTTTGGTTTTTTTTTCTTTTTATATTTCTCCATAGATTCTTCAGAAGTGTCAGTACTGTGTGATCTAAAATCTATGAAATTTATCAAATCCGCAACATTAACTTTACGACTTCGTTCAATTTTTGAGGTTATACCGTTTTGGTTACCGTTTTTCGGGTGGAAACTGGCTATAATTAATTTTAATTTCGAATAAAGATTATTTGGATTGTTGAATATGTCCGCTTCTTTTCTTGTTGCTAAATCTCCGATATCTAAATAATCTTCGGAAAATTTATCTACATTCGAATTCGTTCGTGTTATACCGGTTAGGAATCTTAAATTATCGTTTAGTCGTGTTACATCTACGAAGTCTTCCGGATGTATTTGTTTCTTTAATCTGGCCAATTTTTCGTTATTATATATCATACATAAAATGTTGCCACTGAATTCAATACAATTATTACGTAGTTTATTGGAATTGTTATTTTTATTTAGCCTTTCACTCATTATTTTGTTCATATCATTTCTATGCGCAAGTGATTTATTTATTAATATATTGTATGAAAGCAATTTAGCTTGTAATACATCAAAAGTTACTGTAAAATATTTAAAATTATACTTAAAATAATGCCTTATAAAATGTAATAGCAAAATTTTAAATACGATTGACTAATATTATATTTTATAAGTAAAACGATTATTACTAAAACGTACCAAATGTTATAAAACAGAATATATAACTTCTTCTAAGCCTCATTGTTAGAGAAATTCGCTCTTTAACAAAACACTGACTAGTATGAAACAATTACTTCATTATCAATTACACAATTTTCTACGACACTATATAAAAAATAAAATAGTTTGTCCGTTTCGAAGTTAAATTCTTAACCTTACAATAAATGTACTTTACCCTTTTATATGTCTTATAGGTTACAAGTTTTTTATCATCGTAAAAATGCTAAATAAATTTACAGTTTAATAAAAATAAATTTATTAACAACGAACGTCTGATGTAAAAGTTAGTATGTTGTTATAAAATAATTAAATTGCATACAACAAAACGATGTTACGCTTGAATTGGAAATAATTGATTTATATAAGAAGGTACATATGACGTGAGTCACCGATCATATAAAAACGTCGATTATTGAAAATATAACATAAACAGAGGCCTACTGGTTTTAAGAGAGACGGTAATTCCCAACTTCATTCGAAATTCTCCCATGTTGAAAACAAAACCAAACAATATGCTAATTCATTTCGAATCGTATAGAGCGTGCGTGGGATTGTCGATTGTTTCGCAGCCAATTCAACTGTTTAGTTGCACAACTAAAAATCGAGTAGTGGACCTTCATATACGCTCATAGGAATCAAAGCAAGACTAAACAGTTGTGCGATAGTTTGGTCAAAGGTGTGCACGCTATACGTTTTATTGGATACTAGCTTTTGCCCGCGACTTCGTCCGCGTGGAATTAAAAAAAACAATAGTGAGTAGCCTATGTGTTCTTCCAGACTATCCTCTACATCTATACAAAATTTCATCGAAATTCGTTCAGCAGTTTAGGCTACAAACTCTAACAAACATCCATCCATGTAAACTTTCACATTTATAATATTAGTATGATTGGAGTAATGAATAATAATAAATTGGAGTTTCTGTTTGTAATGTAAAAAGAAAAAATCAAGATTTCTGGAAGATGATGTATTTGTGTGAAAATCGCATTAGAAAATTTTTATGTCTGTCTGTCTGTTCCAGGTAATCTCCGAAACGGCTGTACCGATTTGGACAGGACTTTCACTGAAGGGTAGCTGACATAGACGGACATGTTATAGGCTACTTTTACCTTAATATTGCGGGCAACAGCTAGTCATACTTCATACTATTATAAATGCGAAAATTTAGATGGTTGGATGTTTGTTAGAGTTTGTAGCCTAAATTGCTGAACGGATTTCGATGAAATTTGGTATAGATGTAGAGGATAGTCTGGGAGAACATAGGCCACTCACTTTTGCTTTTTGTAAGCGGACGTAGTCGCGAGCGAAAGCTATAAATAAAACAACAAATGAATTGGAAAATATATATTCACTGGAAAAAACAACGTAATATCAACAATATGATTTCTAATCCATCTTAATTAACACAAATGTGATTGAAAAAAAAAATACATTCAAATAAAATAAAGATTTTTTTTAATTTTAAAAATACAATTAAAAAGAAACCAATATTGACATATTCATCATAATAAAACAATTTGGTATAAATCTATCGATTTTTGCTAACCTATAAACAATACATAAATGGCAACATCCAATTTCGGATTCTACAGAAAAAGTTTCACTAAACACATTTTTAGAGTTCAATTTAAAAACATTAGCGACCATATTGAAGACATTTAAAAATATATAGACACTAGTTTTCGCCCGAACTTCGTCTGGTATTGAAAAAAGTATGTGTTCTTCCAGACTATTCCTTATATCTTTCGTAGAGATCGGTTCAGCAGTTTAAGGATTTAACATAAGGTGGTAAACGAGCAAGCGGCCACTTGAATCCGCCAAAATGGCGAAGCGACTGCCCATAGACATCCGCAATTGCAGATGCGTTGCCTACCCTTATCTGACGGAGGAGGACGCACATAAAGAGGATATTTCCCCTTCCTAAACATCTCCTACACCGTCAAATCCACTTCCCCTTCCCATCCTCTCATAAGAAAAGGGTGGTAAAGAAAAAGGGACTTAAATTAGGCCTCCGGCACCACACTCATCAGACTGTACACGGAATTGCTTCCATTTGACGCCTGTCTGTGTGCTCGTGGTATTACTGGGGACGTGCCCTGCACTGCTAACATGTTAAAGCGGGCACTACCACTGTTATATAATATTAGTGGAAAGAATTTTTTTTACACCGGTAACTTCTTTGAAATGTTAGTTGTCGAGTTTTCACAACTGTCTGTTATAAAATATTTTACAAAAATCATAATAAACTATTGACAACAAATTTAAATACAATTATATTACATATTTTTGATTATTTGAAACGTCTCAAATGTAATGTCAACTGTTTCTATATATTTTTAAATATCTTTCTGAAACGACATTAAAACAGCGTCTTCAAAGGTCACGGGACATCAAATTCAAAACTGACGTCTGTCACATTCTAAGCGGAAGAATCGAATTTAATATCGTTTCAGTGTTCGGCCGTATACGTCAAGTTTTCGACATCGCAACATATGTTGATATCTTAAGCATTGATACGAGGAATAAAGTATACCCGGCCACAATAACATGACACCTGAATACCATCCATACTAATTTAAAAAAACATTTGTATTTTTACATGTAACTAGCTTTAGCCAGCGATTCCGTTTGCGTAGAATTAAAAAAAAAACAAAAGCATATGTCTTCCAGATTATCCTCTACATCTAAGGCAAATTTCATCGAAATCCGTTCAGCAGTTTAGGCTACAAACTCTAACAAACATCCATCTAAACTTTCGCATTTATAATATTAGTATTTACATGTAATAGATAAACTCAAAAACTACTGGAGTTATTTCAAAAATTCCTTCACCATTACAAAGATAAATTATCACTGACTGATATAGGATATATTTTAAACTAGATTTTTTCAAATAAAAACGGACAAAACCGAAATACAAAATACACATTAAGAGTAGAGTGTCAATTTGTTTGAAGTTAAATTGCTTACGTGGGTCAGAAAATTGTTATCGCTTTATATATAACCTAGCTATTGCAAGCCAGTAACTGGCACGTTCCAGTATCTGGCATGCCAGTTATAATCCCGTTTTACTAAAATTCCGGCTTTTCTGTATTAACATTTTAAAGAGCGATTTGTATTTTTGTAATAATTCAAAAACTACTGGAGCGATTTCAAAAATTCTTTCACCATTAAACACGTATTTTAATTGTTTTTTAATTTCATGCGAACGAAGTCGCGAGCAACAACTAGTAATTTACAATATTAAAAAAAGGATAGAATTTGTTCATCCTATATTTACGCGTTTAAAATAAATATGGTGAAATATTTGGGTGTCACGTTATGGTAGTCGCATAGTATCATTTCTTACATTTCATATGAAATAAATATTTATATACAACGCTTTTATATGTGTAAAGCATATAACTGTCGATTGCCGGAAAGTACAAGAACACATTCCGATGGCTCCTACGTGAACTGTCGTATGTTTGAAAATTAAATTTTACAGGAATCTTTATTAATTACAACGCATATAATATACGATAGACAAATTATTATCATTGGTTTAATTAAAAAAAAAAACAAACCAAGGATCAAATTTTAGAATTATTTAGATACTAGCTTTTGCCCGCGACTCCGTCCGCGTGGGATTAAATAAAGGTAAGTACCCTATGTGTTCTACCAGACTATGTTCTACATATGTCAAATTTTAGCAAGATCCGTTTAGTCGTTTAGGCTGCAAACTCTAACAAACATCCATCCATCCAAACTTTCGCATTTATAACATTGAGAGATTACAATATATATATATTTGTTAAAACCCATCTATTTTACAAAGCAGGTTTCGTTCAATCATACTAATCATACTAATATTATAAATGTGAAAGTTTAGATGGATGTTTGTCAGAGTTTGTAGCATAAACTACTGAACGGATTTCGATGAAATTTGGTATAGATATAGAGGATAGTCTGGAAGAACACATAGGTTACTCACTTTTGTTTTTTTAATTCCACGCGGACGGAGTCGCGTGCGAAAGCTAGTGTATAATAAACGAAAACATGTTCTTGTAAACATTCCTGCAGTATTTTACAGTTAAAATTTAATATACAAATATAAACAATGTAATAGTAAATCTATTCGTGTACCAAGTTAGATTAATCAGAGAAATTAAAATATATCTAGACTAGGCATAGTTAACAAAATTCACACTGGTACCTTGTGAAGGGAAAGCAATTCCGCGTACAGTCTGAAGAGTGTGATCCCTTTTCGTTTCCACCCTTTTCTTAAGAGGAAAGGATGGGAAGGAAAAGTGGATTTGACGGTGGAGACGCATAGGAAGGGGAAATGTCCTCTTTATGTGCGTCTCCTCCTCTGTCAGTTAAGGGTAGGCAACGCATCTGTAGTTGCGGATGTTTATGTGCAGCGGTCGTTTTACATTTCGGTGGATTTAGGCCGCTTTTGCTCGTTTGCCACATTATATTATAAAAAAAAACTTTCTCTGAATGGTACATCAGTTGTCAAGTTTAGTGCCGTCTCGTATTGACATGTGAAAAAACATTTTACTAAATTATAATAAGCTCCATCTTTTGTTTAAAAAATGAACTAAACAGTAAATAATTTATATAATAAAATATAAATATTTAAATATTAATTATTTATATAGATAGCGTTAATAAGATGTGAAAAATGTTCCAAGTGAAACGTCAACTGTCATCATCACCAGCTCACTATACGTCCCCACCGAGGGTCTCGGAGCCTACCCTAAGTAATCAACTATGCCTATTCTATATTTTTTAATCTCTTTGATTAATCAGAAAGTTATATTTATATTAATTTTACGTAGCATTGGCAAGTGACTTTCGATCGACTTAGGGGGGTAAAGTTGTATTAAGGGTCCTACCCATTAGTTGTAATTTATTTCTAAGATAATATCTTTAAAATTCAATTAACAATATCACATATTTACTTTTAATAAGAAATATTAAAGGGAAAAGTAATTTTTTTCACTTTAAAAAAAATATTAAATTTTTTTTTAGAGATACGACAATACGCACAGGAGCCTTTAAAATAACAAATGTTTTGTGCATTACATGCAAAAAAAATTAATGTACATTTCCACTTAATGCAAAGTCGTAAAGTGGAAAAATACATTAAATAAAAATCAAATTATTATTTGCATTAACAATATAAGGAATGTATCATGTTTTTGTTACCGGGTTGTAATTTAATTAACTCCCCCCTTTTTAATCAATCGAAAGTAAGCATCATTGGTGCTTTAAATTTACTTTGGTTACTCCTGTCTCTTAGAATTGTGATGTGTCAATAAAAATAACCAGGGGTCGACAACATTTTACCAAAAACAGAAAAAAATAAATTAAAACCAGTAATAAACAAAATTAAAAATAAAAAAATAAAAAAATATACAATTTCTAACAATATAATATTGGTTAATACGACTGAATATTGCAGGTCCTTTATAAGTGGTTATCTATACTATTATAATAAAGAGCAAACACACGCTTCTTTGTTGCCTAAGATGTCAGCAATCACAGCATGATTTTGAATAATTCTTTATTTAATAAAAAGCCTTACTCTTACGTCACGCTTTGGGCTATATATTTTCACGCCATACATTTAGGAGGTAAATATTTTAGATAATAACCCTAATGTGGGAAAGAGACCATAAGTTGCTGTCAACATCAAGGAAGCAAGATTTTCAATGTCGTGTCATGTCATTTTGACATTTGCTATTGATAATTTGACAAATGTAAACAAAAAAATTATTTTTTTTATAATTTCATGCAGATGAAGCCACGGGAACGGCTAGTAAAATATAATTTTAAAACACCTGAAAATTTCGCTCTCCATTTAAATTGAAAATGTCAAATGAATTAACAAAATCTTATTTGTGATTCTTAGAATTACATAATTTCCATTATAATTATAAAAAATATTTATAATTCGATTTCGTCGAAATATATTTACAAAACAATATTTTTAAAAACAAAAATATCTGCAATCAAATTTCATGATATATTAATTAATTTCGATCCTTAGCCAAAGGTTGTCAACCCCTGGTATCTATTAATACCATTTTCTGGTTATTTTTACATCGTATAAAACTATTGCTGTACTGTACATACAAGTTATCCCTTGAAATATGGAATATTGTTAAATAAATAACTTTTACCTTGGAATGTAAGAAAATAAACTTTTAGGGCCTGTCCCACAACTGGCTGATAGAGGCTCAGATAGCTTAAAATGACGTCACTGATATTACCATCACATATTTTACACGGATTGTTATCAGACAATTTATAATTTGGTGGGAAAGGCACTTAGAGTTAAAAGTTTGGTATAAACTTGTCTTGATTTCTGAACATAAAAAAAGAATAAAAAAAACCATCCTCTTTTTTAAAAAGTAATATATGTGTGAAAATTCTAGACCTGTCTAGTCATTCTGGAGTTTACTAACATATATACAAACATTCGTATTATTGTTACTAGGTATTATTAGGTATTGTCATTTTACGTAATAAAATATAAAACCATAAAATCCATCAATTATCTGATAAAAATAAATTGTTCAAAGTTAACTTTGTTCATATTGTCCGAGCTAAATTGAATAGTTATTTATAATCCTTTGACTATACATTAAAGGACTAGGCAAAACGCCAATGTAAATTAATTCACGGAGGTCGAGGTAAAGAGCTAACACGCTTTATAGCGTAGTCAAAATTCGTTCATTTACAAAAAACGCTTGACAGGTCCAGTCTTTTAAAACTCAAAGATACAAAATATATAATTTAACAATTTACATATACAAAAAGTTTGCTGTATGTAAAATTTATTGCTCGTTTGACAGATCCTGTCTCTTAAAAATCAAAGAAAAACACAGAAATCCTAAGTTAAAAAATGTACACACAAAAAGTTTCAACAGAAACAAGTATAAGTTATTGCTTTTTTGGTCCTGTCTCTTAAAACTCAAAGAAAAATACTAAGACCGAATCAAAAATTTACACAAACATCGCTCTTTAAAACTCATATTCAACAAATTCCATACTCCAAGGTCACCGTTCAGTCTTAGAATAGCCAATTTATCAAGACCTGGACGAGCATAGCTAACACGAACCCCGCAAACATATCCCATGCGTGGGAATACTGTACAGGACGATGGGTCGCCCTCATCTGGTCAGATATACGATGGCTCTCACTGAACAGTTCCACAGTTCTGGTCAACCTCTCCAAAGCTAGAGATTGTTCGCGTAATGAACTATCTATTGCGATTAGAGCTTGTTTCAAAGTTCGCCTGAAATTGATACAAGTTAAATTAAAACAACAGAATTATATATTTACTAGCTTTCGCCCGCGACTCCGTCCGCGTGGAATAAAAATACAAAAGTGAGTAGCCTATGTGTACTTCCAGACTATCCTCTACATCTATACCAAATTTCATCGAAATCCGTTCAGCTGTTTAGGCTACAAACTCTAACAAACATCCATCCATCCATCCATCTAAACTTTCGCATTTATAATATTAGTATGAGGTATGATAACTTATCTATATCTATACTAATATTACAAGAAGGAAAGATTTGTATTTTTGTATATATTGAAATAACTCAAAAACTACTGGGACCATTTTGAAAATTTACCTTTACCGTCATTTTCATTTTACTCACACATAAAAGGTATTTTAGTGTAGTGAAACGAAAATGAAATGAAATAGCCTTTTATTCATAATAGCTTACAAAGAACTTATGAATTAGGTATACAGGTTACACATTTTTTTTGTGTGTGTATGTGTGTGAGTAACATAGGCTACATTTTTTTCACGCAGGCGACGTCGCGAACAACAGCTAGTATAATATTATAAAGAGGAAACATATGTATTTTTGGATTTTTGTATGTATCGAAATAACTCAAAAACTACTGGGACAATTTCAAAAAACCTATATAACAAAGCTACGTTATCAGGGAGTAACATAGGCGGTATTTTTATTTCATAGGGAAACAATATTAACGTTGTTTACGTTTTTCCTACAATACTCGAAATGTCATTTCACTCGCTGGGGTAAAAAAGTATAGTACACAATTACAATACTATACTTTCTGTACTTATGTTTTGTATCAACTGTACTCGTGTTTTGTAACCCCCTGTACTAGTGTTTTGTACCACCTGTACTAGTGTTTTGTATCACCTGTACAAGTGTTTTGTATCACCTGTACAAGTGTTTTGTATCACCTGTACAAGTGTTTTGTATCAACCTGTACTAGTGTTTTGTATCAACCTGTACTAGTGTTTTGTATCAACCT